CAACTATGTTGTGGCTGTTGTTTATTTCTGTCAAAGTAAACATATAAAAGAGTCAATAGAGACTTCACTGGTCAAATTTAAACCTGACGCCAGTAGTGAAAAACCACCACGAATGAAGAGAATGTTTCTTCAAAACAATGGTGATAAATCTGTGTCTGTGTATTTTCACCACATCATTCCAGGCCATATGGATGACGAAGAAGAAGAAAGAAATCATTATTTTGGTGCTGACATTACAGACTATACTGTATATATCTGTATATACATACTATATATATAGATATATATAGCATCTATATAATCCAAAGTGACCTTTACTCATGTTTAGAAAGGAAAAACAAACAGTTCTCAGAGAGGAAAAGGTGTTTGCTGTTTTTGTCTTACTGGTTTAGACAATGTATTCTAGGAAAAACCCAATGGATTATTTATGTTGAATAAAAAAATGTAGTGTCCTTTAAATCCTGAGGATTGTATTATATTTATACTATTTTATAGCAAGCTTTTTATTTTTCAGTGACTGGTTTCTGTTAGTGTACTGTCTTGTTCTATATGTCATGCTGGATGAATAAAACATATTTGAACCAATTTTTTAAAACTTGTCTTACCATCAAAGAAATGTGACATGCATGCATAAATATATACAGTAAGAACAAAGTGTAAAAGTAGTTACCAAAACTCAATCACAATTGTAGCCCAAATAACTGAAAGTATATCTCAAACGTAGCAAGAAATTACACAAAATGCTAGTAATACTGAAACCAAACATATTTAGTTTGTAATGTCAGATTTCAGTCATGAAATAAGCTACAACATAAGGTACCAAGACAGAAAATCATTTAAAAATAAGGCACTGAACAGGACAATGTAGGCTAAAAATTTAACATTTGCAATGTGACCGGTGTTTCAGATTTAGTTAGAAGTTATGAAGAAAAAAAAAAATATATATATATATATGTATATATATATATATATATATATCCAAAGAAGCTAAAACCTTAACTTGAAAATAGATTAAAGCAGTGTGAAGCGTAGCAAAACAGCTAGTAGTCACAAAGGTTAGCTCTGATGTTTTGAAAATGTAGCAATAAAAGCCCAGAGATAGGAAAAGTAAATTTCCCGAAGCATGTTAAGGAAATGCAGAGACATAGACAGTATTTAATGTATTACTTTATTCAATAAACACAGTTTATGAGGAAAAAAAAACATAATTAAAGGTCATTAGGACTAGGTGTAGTTAATAAGTGTAACCGCTAGATGGCAGAACCTCGGTTCAAGGCGTACAGAAGCAGAGTCGTTTTTCTGTTTGTATACAAGTGTTTCAATGGCGACTATCGGTGAACTGAAAAGTGGTAAGACTATTCTTTGTTTGTTGCAAAAAAATACATCATCCGTTTTCAATTCGAAATGAGTTCAAGCTGAATCGTTTCATCTAATAAATAGTTGAAAGTTATCTTAATCCGAAGGACTGAGCGTTATGTCTATAGATCTCAGTCCAAGAAACTACAATTTAGCAAACGAGGACACATTTAATGGCTTACAATCGTGTAATAAAAAATTTCTCAAAGCTGCATCATTTTAAAAATATACTATTTGTTTCGGGGCACATTGCTCCGTTCCTCGAGTGGCAGAATTTATGTTTTTTCCTGTATCAAACCAGCTAGCATTAGCTAGCTGTCGTTGGTAAATTTCCTTGTGACCCGTAGCGGTTGACCACTGTGAAATTGTGATTTTACACGTACTAAGTTGATGACGAACGTTGTTGACACATGGCCGTTTTGAAGCAGGGTCTGTTCTATTTCTACCAAGAACATAAACGTATGTAGAGAGTCCTGAAACGTTGTTATTTACCCAGGGCTCATTAATTTCTAAAAATGTTGAGTGGGCTTTGGCGTGTGTTTAGAAAAGACCATCAGGGTAAACTTGAGAAGTGACAGACGGCCCAAAATATACAAGACATCAATTACTGCGACCACGATGGCAGAAAGGACAACAATCCGCGTCCTATAAATTATGAATGTTTTGTTGATAAGTGCTGAGGGACGCGTTGGAGTCCAGTGGGGCACTGGGTCAGCTAAGGGCTCGGATCCGGGCGGAGGTGTTCACTGCCCTGGATGATCAGCGTGAACCTCGACCACAGCTGAGCCACGAAAACCTGCTCATCAACGAGCTCATCAGAGAGTACCTGGAGTTCAACAAGTACAAGTACACAGCGTCAGTGCTGACTGCAGGTCAGTGGAACGATGAAACGCCACTGCATTATCCCATCCTGATTATATCCTGTGTGTACATCACAATTTAAAGTAGAAATCATTAATGTTGCAATACACTTGTACAGATATTTTGAGTAAAATATGACATCCCAACTGAGGCTGCGAACCACTGGTGGCCTTTAGCCATAATTGTATTGTTGTTTGAAATATATTGTATAGTATTGTTGAGATGAAATAAAAATCCATCTGTTAACTGCCCCTTGTATTTATTCAATGTAATATACTAAAAGTCTGTGTTCATTACCAAGTTCTCCAAATTAAACCACACTTTATTTAACAGCATATTCTTAAACAGCTTGTTCATTTAAAACTATACATGTATGTTTACTGTTAATTTTCATCACCATAGTAAAATAAAATGAGAGAAACCACTGTTCTCACCTAGTGCCTGTCTGTTCTATCAGAGTCCGGTCTTCCTGAAGTTCATCTGGACAGACAGTTCCTGGCTGATGAGCTGAAAGTCAGAGAGGACACAAGCTCCAAGTCTGTGTAAGTCTGTAGAAGTGTGTAGAACTGTGCCTCACATCACTGTAAGATGTACACTGCCTGGCCAAAAAAAAAGTCGCCACCAAAAAAAAGGGTCATACACTGTAATATTTTGTTGGACCGCCTTTAGCTTTGATTACAGCACGCATTCGCTGTGGCATTGTTTCGATAAGCTTCTGCAATGTCACAAGATTTATTTCCATCCAGTGTTGCATTAATTTTTCACCAAGATCTTGCATTGATGATGGTAGAGTCTGACCGCTGCGCAAAGCCTTCTCCAGCACATCCCAAAGATTCTCAATGGGGTTAAGGTCTGGACTCTGTGGTGGCCAATCCATGTGTGAAAATTATGTCTCATCCTCCCTGAACTTCACAATTTGAGCCCGATGAATCCTGGCATTGTCATCTTGGAATATGCCCGTGCCATCAGGGAAGAAAAAATCCATTGATGGAATAACCTGGTCATTCAGTATATTCAGGTAGTCAGCTGACCTCATTCTTTGAGCACATACTGTTGCTGAACCTAGACCTGACCAACTGCAGCAACCCCAGCTCATAGCACTGCCCACACAGGCTTGTACAGTAGGCACTAGGCATGATGGGTGCATCACTTCCCCTGCCTCTCTTCTTACCCTGATGCGCCCATCACTCTAGTCCCCACTATCCTTCCAGTTTTTAATAATGCGTTGGACAGTTCTTAACCCAATTTTAGTAGTTTCTGCAATCTCCTTAGATGTTTTCTCTGCTTGATGCATGCCAATGATTTGACCCTTCTCAAACAGACTAACATCTTTTCCACGACCACAGGATGTGTCTTTCGACATGGTTGTTTAGGAAATGAGAAGCAACTCATTGCACCAGTTGGGGTTAAATAACTTGTTGCCAGCTGAAAGATAAATCGCCCATGCAGTAATTATCCAATAGGAGGCTCCTACCTATTTGCTTCGTTAAATCCAGGTGGCGGCTTTTTTTTTGGCCAGGCAGTGTAAAAATCAACTATGACTATAAAAGCATAAAAAACCTGTCTATTCATTCGATGAAGAGCATGACATGTTTTTTTGTTTGTTTTTTTTTTTGTTTTGGAGCTTGGTAACAGTATTTTTTAGAATACACAAACTAACGATGTACTGTATATGCAAATAATATATATTATAAATATTATAAGTATGTGTAATTTATGTTTTTTATAATAGGTATTAAGCATGTGCAACGAGCAGAATGTAAAAATAGTAAAGTTATTTGAATGAAATGTGAAGATTTCGGCCTCAGTGACGTTTACCTGACAGTAGATGGCAGTACTGCACTGTTCTTTGGCCAGGGTCTAGCATTGGTTTTTATAGTTGTAGTATTATTGCCAACATGTATATTTACATATTCGTGATTTACAGAACTATTCTTTGGAAGTATTGATGAATTGTTATATTGAAAAATAAGAAACTAAGAATTATTTTTTCTTATTGGAAATATAAACAAATCTACATTCAGAATTGAAGTCACAATTTCAAATTTGTAATTCTGACTTTATTTATCAGTAAAATAGTAAATAAATTCTGTTGAGTTAGCATCTAATCACATCCAATTACACATCTAATATTTTCTTTCCAGACCTCTTCTCTATGGCCTGGTGTCTCACTTCCTGAACAGTGGTGATGACAGAGGGAAGGTGTTTCTACGAGGTTCATCTTTGCCAACAAAGAGCACAGCTGCTGACAAAGGAGCTGGAACTGATGCCTAAGAACTGATGCCTAAGAAGAGACAGAGCAGCTTATACTGGACTATGTTTTTAGGTGATTCCACAAATGACAGCAGGAGATTGGATTTCAACTGAGTGCAGGGAGTAAACACTTACTTTATTATTTTTGTTGCCAAATGACCATCGATTACTTCATTTTGTTGTGATATTATTTTATACCCTGGCCTATTTTTACATTATTTATAGCAACAGTCCAATGGTTATAGGTTCTAATCTTCTTTCTTAATTATTTTTCTTCTTTTTTTAAAATAAATATTTTTCTCTATTCATTCAAAACAATGTTCTGTTTCTACCGAATAACACATGAGGTTTTATTTATATAGTAGTTACAGCAAAGCAGAGTGGACAGATCTGTCTGTCAATGTTGGTAGGAAAATATTGATCAGGTAAAACAGTAGACTGTATACACAAAAAATAATTGATTGTACAATGATACCACCTGATACTAGAGTAGATCTTCCTTTCAGTTTCCCTGAGACACTAATTTTATGGGCACCGTATGAACATTCCTCTGAAAAGGTCTTTATAAGCAGAGGGAGTTGAACACGTAGCAGTTGGCTGGGCAGTTGTTCTGGTAATCGGTACCATTTCTCCTCCACTTTATAATTTAGTTGTGTGTGTGTGTGTGTGTGTGTGTAAGAGACAGAGGCTGAAAAACAAAATAAATAAGATTATCAGTAGAAAAACCATTGACTTCAGTTTGACTTCATAACATTTCAGTTTAAAATGTTATGACATTCCAGAGTCAAACATGACCATAAAAATGTTTTGTCCTGATAGATGTCCTTCTATGGACACGGCCCTGAGGGGACACAACACAAATACTGCAGTATATGATGGTTGGTTAGATGATACTGGAGGTTTATAATGATATAATGTACGTGTATTACTATTACCAAGGAATGGGGGTGAGGTGCAGGTGCAGGTCTGGGGTGGTTGTATGCTGGAGGTTGGGCATTGCACCACAATCCTACCACAGCTACCAAAATGACAGAATATTCTTGATTGTTGTACAAGTACAACCTGTAGTCTTTGTATACCAAATACCCAAAGAGTTCTATAAAGAATACATTCTGAATAGTGTAGACCTGTAGGTTTCAGACCCTTGACTTGGATTAATGAAACTAGATGAAGCTAGACACAAGTACAAAAGTCAGCGCCACCTGGTGGACAATCTCATTGGAATGTTAGACATTTTTCATGACATTTGAATGCTGTCCAAAGACTTCTATTTTGTAAAGCCACATCACATGTGTTGAAATGTGTTATTTAATTCAAAATATGGCACTTTTAATACTTTAAACTTCAAACTTATTTTGGGTCAGTCTTGAACTATACCTGGTTCTGGTTCTGGTCCAGAACTGGATCATTGGGATTCTCTGGTTGGCAGCTTATCTGCAGTATGATTATCTCATCAAAGTTCTTTCCTCATAAGGAAAAACAGATCTTCCTTCACTGGAATCTCCCTTCAATGTAAGAGAGCTAGCTTCCCCCAACCCCACCCCTCACTCCCTCCCCCCCACCCCTCACTTCCCACCCCAGTACAGACAGACATCTCATAGTCTGGGTTATTAATGTTTCTTTTTGTGTGTACATCCTGCAGAGGTGTCCTCTGTCACTACACACATCACATTCCAATCAACCCCCCATAGCCCCTGCCCCTCACCACCACCACCACCACCACGCCACTACCTCCACCCCCTCCCATCCATCCCGCTGAAGCGACATCACTGCTGTTTCCAGCTTCTTTCCAATGGAACTTCCTATATAAGGAAACTGTTCTGTTTGCTCCAGTAAATCATTTGGTTTGCAAGTTAGGTCTGTTTTGTGCCAGAGTCACAAGTATGTGTGTGTGTGAGAGAGAGGAAGAAGGAAGAAGGGAGTCCCGATAAGGGAGTCCCGATGACAGACCAGAGTCCAGCATGGAGGACCTCTCCTTTGGTCTCACACTGAACGTCTTAATGAAATTAGGGGTGGTATTCAGGAGGGAGGATCTCAGCTCAGGGGGAGACAGACTGGGGGTGGGGGAGAGGAAAGCAGCAGATACATTGAACAGATAGGTTTCCAGCATGTGCCATATAAGGACAGTGGGTCTGGACAGAATCTGGGCAGCATTCTGTTGTGCTATCAAAGCCGAGCTCAGGGGAATAAACCCGATCCCCACTGACTAAATATGGTCCAGCAGCAATAACATTGTTCAAACAAACAAAGCTGCTTCTATGGAAGTAACTCTTAGAATTCACCTTTAGCTTCACTGGGAAGAAGAGATGATGTTACTGACAGGTGTTCAGGAGGTCATGCTGTGGGTTTGTTTGCTAACCTTTAGCTTCTTCCACACAGTCCTTTGGCTGAAGTTATTTACCTTATTATATATTTTTTATTTTTTATTCATTAATATTATTATTATTTAGGTATATACTTAAGTAAATTTAGCACATTGCAGTACATTTTTACGTCACTTAACGTTAAGTCTGCGTTGGTGCCATGTTACAAATATTTATACCTGGCTGAAATATTATTCGTAGTAATGGCACTTTCTTTCCCCAATCACAGTTCAGCTGTGGGACAACATGTTGTACAGGCGGTTAATGCTCTTGCCTTACATTGAAAAGGATCACTGGGTCATTTTCTTGTTTCTGAGGTGGGGACCAAAATGATTTATTTAACCCATATATATAAATACATATATATGTGTGTATACATATAATATATAGTAGATAGTGACAAAGAATTTATGCTGTATTCATATGTATGGATGTATGTTTATATATTATATATGCACACACACACATCTATATGTGTATGTGATCATCATATTCGTTTTACTTCTCTATAATGCTGTAGTATTACTGCAGATGTCATACAATGCAATACTGCACTCATTCAAATGGTTTAAATGTTTTTGTGAATTTTTTTTCTGGTCAAATGATATGTATTTTCTTTCATTGAAGGTGAGAATCCTGCCCTCTCCTGATCACCGCCAGGATTGGCTGCAGCTCCTTCCGCTGGTTAGGTCTTCATTCACAGCTTACATTTGAACGTGTCCCAAAGAGACATAAACGTGTCAGTGGTTAAAATTATGTCTCCTTTCAGGTCAGGTTGTCGTTGGTGTAAAGAATAAAAATGAACAACAGTTGAGAATTTATTTCGCTGCTCCCCAGTCGAGCTGTTCTGACTTCTCTGACGAGAACATCGTTAAGATGATCGGTGACACCTGAGCTTTTCTACTGGATGCTGCTCTGTGAGACCATAATGAGTGGAGGTGAAGTCTGAGCATCAGAGGGTAAGTGACCATCAAACATGACTGGTGTTTGTTTAAAAGTGTTTGTGTGTCGGGGTGTAAATCAATTACCTGAAAATATTCAGATATTTAATTATACATTTACAAGATGAAACCATTTCTGTTTTTTCTTTTTGTGATGTAAAACCATGGAACAATCTAAAGCAGTTATTCCCAAACCTTTTTGGGACACCACCTGGGCCCCATTTGTTAGTAGGACTATTATTGAGCCCACCCTTCCCCTCCTCCACCACCAGTCTGAAACATTCGCAGCTTCTGCCTTATACTCCTTTAAAGGTTATTTTTAAACTCTTTAATTTTAAACTCATCTTTACAATGAACAAAACAAAAAAATAAAAAAAAGTTACAAACCAATGCATTGCCCCTAGCCCAATGAACAGCCTTATTTTCTAATTTGGTCTTGTTTCTACCATGTCCCCTACTTTTGGAACCAATGTTTAATAACTGCTTAGTGTTTTGTGTTTATTTTTCTCATTTCCTGCAGTTTGTCCTTTCCCAGTCATTAATGTGTGTTTGTACCTGGAGTGATGGAATGTTCAGACCAAATACTGTAAATATATAAGTCAGTAATTAAGAGGAAGCGTGATAAGAGTTAATGACTGATGGAGTTGGAACTAAACAAGTGTTGCACTTTTCCACACGCATGTAAATGTTCCTGTTCTACAACAGTTCTTCAGAATTTCTCTTTTAAAATCTTATGTTTTTATTTAATACGTCACTTCCTCTTAAAGTCATTTCAGTCTGTCCTTGAATTTCCATTGTGTGTGTGTCTTCTGAACTGTCCTCAGTGATGCTACAGCATCTAAAGCAAGAGGAGGAGGAAAAGGATGAGGAGGAGGTCCCCCTGGTGCAGCTCCTCCCTGGACCACGTCGGTCAGTTTAAATGCTCAGGAGGTGAAATGGACGGGGGTCATTGGGACTGTTCGTTTTTCAGGAGTACACCTCGTCCACATCGGCCGCCCCAAACCCAAACTTTCCAAAACCAAGAGCTCCTCTGAACGTCTCTCTTCTTCACATCATGTGAGTATGAACTGATGTTGATTTGGGCAATTGTGATGCTGAGAGAAGGGTGGGGGGATGCACTTGTCTGGCTGCAGTCATTCAATGTCTTCATTTTGAAATTTTAGGTTTTAGCACAAGAGATGAGGTTTGAATTTTGTAATTTAGAAATATGAGAGATAATTGTGGTGTGATGGCAGTGAGACTGGCTGTGAAGTTTGTCTTGATGTTCCTTGATGTAGAAGCGTTGATAAAGTTGCAGAGTCATTTCTTATTTAAATTGCATCAGACTTTACTGTCACTCGCTCAGTCACTCACTTGTTACAGCAGCAGATGTCAGGTGAACATAAGTGACAACATGCAAATGGTGAGCCATAAAACAACTGGATTAATCGCAGTTAAATACTCATTCAAATGTTCAAAAAGAAAATGCTGCAAATAACATTATCTGCCTGACGACTAATGAGTCAACTCACCGTATCAGCAGAGTGTTATGAGCACACAGCACTTGTACATGCTTTACTGCATGTACTGCAGTAACGCAGTGAAGGGAAGTGTGCTCTGGATTATCTGAGTACAAACAGGCAAGTGAGAACAGAGAGCTTCCTGCTTTCCTTATAAGGTCATAAAGAAACACAGTCAAACTGTTGACCGCTGAGGCTGAAGATGCAGAGGGAAGTGAACCGTGGCCATTTAAACCCAACATGCACGGGGTCAAAAAGTAACTGAGCCGTTTCTCTCCATCTTGGTTAAAAATGAGACATTTGTTCTGATTTGAAAAAGCTTCAATTTTAAAAGGTTCACTAAAAATCTGATTAAATCTATGGTAACACAGCTCAACACTTGACAAAGGTACATGATCAAACTGGTCAAAAACCAGTCTGAACCGGTTTTAGTTCATCAGACACCTGCAGAAATCTGGCCGAGGACCTTTTGACCTGCGTACAAGTGAAAAAACTCTACTTTAATCAAAGGGTATTATTATTGAACTGAATTAATTGTCATCGATAAAAGATACTTGATTAATGTAAATCTTCTACGACAGCTCTGCGGTGCATTGTCAGTGTTCTGTATTTTCTATTTTTGGACCATGTAGTTTTAATTCCTTTGTAGGAATTACTGTGTTTAAGATGAAGTTTAATGGAGTTTTCCAGCAGTAGGTGTGAATGGCTGGTTGTGGGGGAGGAGCCTGACAAAAATGTTATAAATGGGGATGGATGCAATAGACAGTCTGGGAGCCAGTGCCATACAACATAATGAGGGTATTGTAAATTCCAGTAATATTTTTAGAAAAAAAAGAGAGATAAAAATCAACAAGGGTGTTTGACTGACAGCTTGATCGACCAATAAAATGCCTGCCTTTCTCAATCATACATGAAGTCTAACGACATAAACCATCTCCTGTTGAACTGTGGTTCTTTTTTTTTACCTTTTTTTCTGAAAGATATGGAATTTACTAAATATTTAAATATATCTAAAGAAATTAGACCAAGAACACCTGAGGAAATTGTCATCCTAAATTTCCCTGAGGGAACTCCCGAGGGATTAATAAAGTGCCATCTATCTATTAAAAATTCACTGCAAATTCTCTTTGAACGTTTGACTTTACAGCCCGGGTCATTCAGTGTCTGTTTCTGCACACAACCATTTCCATAACAGGACAAACCTCCGGCTGTCATTGGTCTATTTTAGTCTTTATGAGTGAACAACTTTCAACCTCTGGCCCCAATCACCTCACAGAGCATGAAAATGAAAATCTGTTCAGTTGATGTAAATTATTCAAATGAGTCGATCGAGGAAATTAATGATGACATCCATGGGTCAAACAGACTATTTTTATCTCCAGCACCAAAAAGTCAGGTCATTTCCTGGTTGAAAAGTCTGTCAGTTTATTATTTTTGAAATCCACTCCTTTTAAATGGATTCCTCATGAGGGATTAATTACTAAAGATAATAAAAAACTGAAATGTACAACTGCTGGAACATGATGTTTTGTTTCCAGACTTTTTTCCACGAGGGACTAAAATAGATGCTTTAAAGATGGCTGAAAATGCCCCCTGACCAAATTGCAATCAACTGCAATGAAAAATGACTTTACATTGCATTTGAATAAACACACACACACCTGACGCCAACAGTTGTACAACAGGAAGTGATGCAGCATACACAGATGCTCCATGCGATCTGCCATGTTGTCGTTTCTGTGTTTGTGTTCTGTCGCCTCAGTAACACGGAATAAGGTCCTCCCACTTTGGTTCAACTTAAACTGCTATGAAATCAGGCTGGTTCACCAGACAGCACCAAGGTTCTCAGGCCCCAGAACGGACCAGAGCCTGAACCAGATCCATGTCTGTCTGAAAGCACCTATTGTAGTCTGTTCAGGGACCATGATAGGCCCACTGACCTTGAACTGACTTTGAATCTTCTTCTTTAACAGTAAAATCATCAGGTCATAACATAAGCTGACGTGTTTAAGTTGTTAAAAACTCCAAAAGATTTTGTTCAGGATTAGTCAAATTAATAATATATTACTAATTATTACATTGTTCTAATATTCTGTATGTTCTTATGTATAATTTATTAATTTTTTTATTGATTGTCAAAAAGCATGTGTGGACAGTAGAGAAGACAAGTGAAAGAGGATTCAAAAGAAATATTGTGGTCACACCATGACGAGGAAGGGAGGTACGGGGGGGCTCACTGTGACACAGTCACAGCTGGTCTTTCCGCTGTACGTGCCAAAAGACAGTTGAGTCACTGAACTCCACTGTACCCGTAGGTCAGGGGTCTCCAACCTTTTTGGAACTGAGTGCTACTTCGAGGTCACTTAGTAATACAGAGAGTCACTTGTTTAATACAGACTTCCTGAACAATGTAATAATAATCAGTTCTGGGACATACAATAGAAGACACTCTCTTCTTACCATCGTCATTGAACCCATTTGAATATCACTGCAGGTGGAACTGATTCAAAAACCACAGTAACAGTACAGTTTTTGACCCTCTTGTTGACTAGAACATACCCGCGGGCACCTTAGATAGTCCATGGGGGCTACCAGGTGCACTACGTTGGTGACCCCTGCTGTAGGGAATTACATTTTTGCTTCCTCTCTTAATGGACACATTCAATTAAAGAAGCTCTGAATTATCGTTAAGATCATTGACACTTAACAGAAGTGATAAACCAGGATGAAATTAATCATTTTCTTTTACAAATATACAGTCTTTATTTTTCATTCATCTCTGTATAAACGGTTTATTCAGGCAGGAAAAGTGTGTTTACTTTTATCTGCAGAGACTTTAATCTGCAGTCATCACAGTATCAGCTGATTCCCTCCTCTTCTCCTTTAAATAACCCAGTGTGTGCCCCCGACCCTGCATTTGATTTTGTTGAATATAAAAAGTCTGTCTCCATCTCCAGTGAACAGTCAGGTCATGTCTTTTATTGGCTCCTGTGAGGTTTGGTTTTGCTCCTCTCTTGGGAACTTTTATACATTTTCTCAGACTGCATTTTACGAAGTTCCCACTCAATAAACTCAAAACATGGTGATGTGGTTTTATATGACTCGGAGGACCACTGTGGTTTGGTTGCCGTGGTGAGAGTCAACGATCAGTTCTCCTGTGTTTCCTCCAGGTCCACTGACAGACAATTCTCTATAATTCAGTCGGTTATTTTGGAAATGAAAGGCAACAGGAGTTGATGTGTTGAAGCTCGGGGCCCCTCAGGCTCTCTGCCTCACTGTTATCATTCTGGAGTAAACGACAAAGCAGCCCGAGACATACTATTCCCTATATGGGCTTTGTTTGGGAGTTCACTGTTTAGGTCCACAGAAAAGAGTCCCGCTAAAGACGAGGGGTCCTTATATGGTCATGGCAGCACGAGACCGAAGCCTCCCGGAGCTCAGGCAGGGAGACACATGTGGAGGGGAGAAGATGTGGGAGAAGGATGGAGCAGGAGTCCATGGGAGTGGGGATTATACGTAGGTGTGGGGGTGTTGGACGGTTTTGTTACTGAAACTTGTTTCAGTAAGAAAGTTTTATGTATTTCCCTGGTGATCTGCATGGAACAACTGCAGGTTTTTACAGTGAGTGGGTTAAGACGTGCACACTGGGAAAGGAAATCAACATTAACTCTTAAAGAGGTAGCAGGCTAATCAAGAGCAATGACAGTGAACATTAAAGTCCATCCTGTGTTTAAAACTGTCATTTCATCAATTTGGTGTGATTTTTTCATGGAGTAAATGTTTGATTTTTTAAAGAGCTGTTTTTAAGCTGTTAAAAGGTTATTTAAATCCAAAAGAAACTAAATATTATATAACAGGACACATATTAGGACTTCTATTAGGACTTCTTCCTTCAAACTCCCTTTAATTTCTGTCCTTGGAACTATATTTTATTATTATTGTTGTGAAATGTATTTATTTCTGGTTTGGTTCTTTCTATTGTTCTGTTGTTGTCATGGTTACCTCCTCACTCTTAGTCCATCATTGTATTTGGCTTCCATCCATCTCTGAGGTTCACTCATCCAAATCGTTTTTCCCTCCAACAGTTGGCCCTCCACCATAATCCAAGATGTCCAAGAAGACCCAGGCTGAGGACGAGAAGTTCCTCTATGTAGACAAGGACCTCCTGAACAGCCCCATGGCGCAGGCCGACTGGGCTGCCAAGAAGCTGGTGTGGGTTCCATCAGAGAGGAATGGCTTTGAGGCAGCGAGCATCAAGGAGGAGCACGGTGATGAGGTGCTGGTGGAGCTTGCTGACAACGGCAAGAAGTTAACGGTCAACAAGGACGACATCCAGAAGATGAACCCCCCCAAATTCAGCAAGGTGGAGGACATGGCTGAGCTCACCTGCCTGAACGAGGCCTCTGTGCTGCACAACCTGCGAGAGCGTTACTTCTCAGGCCTCATTTATGTGAGTGTACAGCAGGGATGAACACACACACAAACACACACATACCTGTTACTGATTTGCAATAATTACACCTGTTATCTTGAACATTCTGGTTCATACAGTAGAATAGTTCAACTCTGAAACTGAAGTTCTGACATTGTTGCTGCACCTTAGCCCCAAGTTTAAGCAAATACCAAATCCTAAAATTTGTGGGGGTTTTTTTATTTGTTTTTGTAACATTGTAGAGGTCTCTGTTCTCATTTAAATATCGTTTAAACCTCTTTTCTCTCAGACCTACTCTGGTTTGTTCTGTGTGGTCGTGAACCCTTACAAGATGTTACCCATCTACTCTGAGAAGATCATCGACATGTACAAGGGAAAGAAAAGACACGAAGTCCCCCCCCACATCTACTCCATCACCGACAATGCCTACAGGAACATGATGCAAGGTGAGATGTGTGTCCGAGGTCCAGGTGTGCAGATGGAGACGGATTTTCATCACCTTCAAGTTTAGTTTAGTTAGTTGACAGCAAAGGTTTGTGTGAAGTTTGACAGATCTGATCTTTTAAGAAATACAAGTCCAGAAGATACAAATTCAGGAAAAGATAGAAGTCCAGACATTTCCCAAATGTCCACAACATAACAATGTTGGTAGCTACAATGGACAAACCCAATAATATGCCAAATTACAAACACAACTAAAAGTTTGGCTAAAGAGGCAGAAATTTTGTCAAATTAAATTATGCTACTTTTTTGTACAGTGATTTGTACAGTTAACCAAAAATAATGGCAATAACTTTAACAAAAACAAATAGCAGGAAAGACCACAATTTAGCCAAAGTGGTTAATTGTTAAAATGATTAAAACTTTAAATATTCTGACAAACCTATGGTAATTAACTCATGTTTTAGTTAGTCACAACAGCTAGCTAAAACACCCTACCCTATGTTGAACAGAAGTGTCAGTCTGTTGACTTTAAATGCCTGGTGTATGATTGGCTGTGGGGGGGTTTCTGTCCAGTGGTTGACGTTCCTCTCACTGACTTTTAACTCCGTCATGTTCACAGTGTGGTGAAGAAAAACCACAAACTGCTCAGTGCTGTCAGTCTTAAATGAAGAACTTGGTTCAGTCCAAATGCTTCCTCTTCCTGTTGCTTCTCTGCACCAGACTTCAGAGCAGCTTGTTTCCCATACATAATGTCTCCTGCTGCCAGAAGGTCGTGCCCACAACATGTTCTCTCAGAGGAGTTGACTTCTGGATAGAGAAATGGGTGGAGGGGCCGTGAAGTATTTCCTGTTTTAGTGAAGCCCCCTTCCTCATTCAAATCTTTATTCTTTTTTTTTTTTTTTTTTTTTCTCAATCAAAATAAGAGTTCCTCCATTGAGGAGAACGAAGATTGCGATGGGTTAGCTGATAAACAAAGAGGCTCTTGACAAACATGACATCAGGATAACATTCTCAAACTGATGTAGATATGTAAAGCATGTCAGCTGTTCAGGAGTCTGATTAACGCAGCTGTCATTAACATGTGTAAATAAACAGAGTAACTCCCAGAAAACTGTAGTATTTTACTGCCCAACCCACAGTGTCTAAACACTGTCTTTAGTGAGTAAACAACGCAGGAGCGGGTCGGCCGCTGTTTGTGTGTCTGTTTGGATTCTTCGTTCTTCAGCACATCATCAGCAGCGTCTTCAGGTCCATAGTTAACATGTGACACACACACTTGTTTTCACACTGAGAACTATTTGTTCAAGAAGAAGTGTGTTTTTGTTGGAGAATAAACAAATCAGACATTTGCTGTTGTTTGTTCCATTTGCAAAACTAGCTAATATTTTAGCACACGGACCACCCGTTTAGGTTTAAGATGTGTATTTTAAAGGAGGGGCTTGGGACTTTGTTAACATCTCTGTTTCTCTGAGTGTCTGTCTACCCCACAGGTTCCAGTTTCAACAACTGAGAAGATGTTTTATAATCTGACAAAAGTTGGAAAAGTGTCTCAAAATGAGCCGTTCAGAGTTAGCAAAGCGGGGTATTCTAAGAACCCCACCCCACACTTTCAACCACCTCCTACATTTTAAGGAATTCTCCATTTACTTTAGTCATACATGACTGTCTTTATAATTTACAACCCAAAAGCCTAGCCCAACTGCTCTTAGCTAACTGAACAGCAGCTACAGTATATTACATAAACAGTTGGACCTGCTGTTTCTGTCTGCTGCCCTGACGGTTTGCCATACCTGCCAGAATGGCATACACCATTTTACTGCACATGCACACAAATGTTGTAGTCCTACATTTGAACGGTAAATGCAGTAACTTTGATACATTACTGCCACTGAATAGTATTTCACTTTCAACTTTTACTGTTATGTAATGACGTAGGTGATTATGCAATGAGGCTAGCATCGTTTTAGTCAGTAGTTAGTCTTGTTTGCGTTGATGGTTATATTAGAATACATCCATCACTCTGTTTGTCATCATGACAGGCTGGGAATGGTTGTTGTTGATGCCTCAGAGGGGTTTCCCATGAAGTGCTTGGAGATTAATGATGTAGCGTGTTTTGCATGAACAACTTACTCATTAGAGTGGAAGTGGTGCGTGGTTCATATCGATGATTCTCTCAGGCTTTAAGGCATGCTTTCCTACAGTTTTGGCTGAGAGCCACTCACTCTTTGATGCTGTGGAGATAAAAATAGTCAGAAACATCCACAACGGGAGTTTTCTATGTGCAGGAAGATGTGACTGATGTGCAGCTTATCTTTGTTCGCTCCCCGTACATTGACCGTCTGGACAGGTGTGGAGCCATCAGTACAGAGTTTAACGCTTTCCAAAGTAAATGATACCTGTTGAGGGCAGCAAAGTATGAATTACAAAAAACACTTGCCTTTTTGGGCAACTTTGCAAAAATGTTAATGTTTAGATACGTTTGGAATTAAGAGTCACTGAACGTTGATCAACGTGGATCTTATTTAATATCAGCATTTGTTATAATTGTGTTTGTTCATTGTATTTATGAATTCTTTTAAAAACCATGAAAAAATTATCTGATAATACATTTCTTTATCTTATTACTGCCACCTAGTGGTTTTCTAACCCTGCGTCATGTCTTTGTTTCCACAGATCGTGAGGATCAGTCCATCCTCTGCACGTAAGTGAACATCCATCACTTCTGTGGTCGTTCCTCTTCTTTTTCTTCTTCTGTCTGATTTAAACTTTGTGAAGGTTGTGTGTGAGCTATGGTGTTTGTGTTGAGTTACATCATCACTGTATAAGCTTGTTCATGTTGAGTCTTTTTTTTTCCATTTTCTGCAGTTTTCCTTTATTATTCCATCACTTGTGTTTTTGTGTTTGGTTTGAATGGAGCTACAGCCAGTGTGTGTTAATAGTTTTGCAGCGCTCCCCGGGGGCCGTGGCCCGGCTCTCTTCACAGACTCTGGGTCAGGAAGTTGGCCCTGCATCCTGATGGGAGAACCAGATTAGATCGCCAAATGTTTGGCTCCCTTCTGACTATTTGTTTGTTTCAAACTAATTCTTGAGAACTTTGCGTCCAGGGACAAACATTCTCCCTTTCTGACAGTTGATAATATCCTCTACTTTCAAGTCAACTGTAACATTATTATTGGATCTATTGAAGAGGTCCTTTATTCGTCCCACAAGGACTTTATTTGTCTTGTTATGTTTTATTGGCTGAGGGGACGTGTCCACAGTACATTATAAATGTGTTGTTGTCCCCCTGTTAGAGATGAAATGAAACCATCAGAGTAAGGAGTGATGAGCTGCTTGTGTTTGTGATGCAGCTCAGCTTCTCCTTTGGTCAGGTTAGCAGATGTTAGCAGACATTAGCCTCCACAGCTTCTGCAGCCATATAAGGCAGAAATGTCTGTGTTGTGATACATGGAATGTCATGTATGACGTTTATCTATGTGTGTGTGTGTGTGTGTGCATACGTGGAACAGGATTACTTGCCAGTTTACACTTAAGTCGAGTCACTATGACAGAACAACTGACATTCTTCACAACAGCTAGTAAAAATCTGAACTTTTTCATTTTTGTTCGGTTTGTTTCATTCAAATACCTTAATTAAATATTGAATTTAGAATAATATAGTTTTGACATGATGAAATCTTCACCAACCAGGTTGTGTTGCATCAAGTGTAAAAGCCAGTGCTGGGGTTACCCCTGATGTAAAGCAGCATGCTGATTTTATCCTGTAGACCCTGGAAGCTGAACCAGATGGGGTCACATCCCCATGCCTGGATTTACAGGTCCAGTAGACTGGGGGCCTCACACAGTAAAATACAGGCATGAGCAGCTGCAAGACCACTCCCCCATGGGACATAGATTTTCAATAAGTAAATATTTTAAACGCCTGTTTTTCTTCTGTAGTTTAATTTAACTAAGAGTGAATGTACGACAACTGAAAAGAGCGATGGGGTGACGGTGTACACTGAACTAAAAAAAAAGATCTCAGTTCTTTACTTTCAGTTTAATGTCGAGCCACTGCCTCTTGAAAATATTATCTAATCCACTCCAACCTTTCAAATAACAGTGTAAAAAGTGTGCTGACAGTCAGCCGGGCCTCTTAGATCTTTTGAACATCTTTAGGAACAGAATCCCATCAAAATGTTACAGCAGGGGCCTGGAGCTGACCTAGACAGATCTCAGAAATCAGATTCCTCTCAGAGTTGCTGAGCTCTACCAGAGACAGTGAGAGAGAGAGAGAGAGAGAGAGAGAGAGAACATCCCGAGCCTTTTATGGACCCAACCTGACCATAGGTCTTGTGTTGGGTCGCTCAATGATGGCTCTGCACTTTGTTGGACTGTGTCTGTATAAGTGTCAGGGAGTGTTTGGATGTGATCTGGCTTCTGTTTGAGCGAGTCTTCATTAAAATGCTCTGAAAGATGATTTGATTATCTGTCTTATAACTCTTACCATCAACTTGTAAATGTATCACATATCTATATAACAGCTTCACAAACATTAGGTCCACAGGAGGGCTTGTGAGTGCTGTACTTAAAAGGAGATTTGACTCCAGGGTTTACAGAGAGACAGTTTGAGTTCATCAGCAATCCTGTTGTCGTGTGCTGAGATTTTAACCATGTTGTTGTCGCAGCTACTGTAGCCGTCATCATGGAGTTTATGCCTCAAGCTCAGAGGCAGAAGAAAGGAGGTTTAAGGCTAGAAAAGGGTATAGCAAAATTGGTGTTTGTACCAGTACTGTTGTAGCTAACGTTAGCTCTGACGTCTATACCAGGAAAGTTGAAGCTAATGTTAGCCCTGGTGTCTTTGCTTGCAGCATTATGGTTTATGATGAGGTGATAATGTAGACACGTTACTATTTGTGGGATGACAAAAATCATTCAGATGCTGTGCAGTCCTGGTGAAAGCTGGACACCTGCTGACCTCATTGTGAAGGTGTTGGTGGTGTGTTATCTCTAATGCAGATTTTTCTACTCAAGAAACTAGATTAACTGTCCTGTGAACAAAACTCTAATTCTGTTTCACAGGTGCTGCATTGTTTTACTCTGAAATGCTGCATTTATTTTTCTTCCTCTCGTTGTCCTTCTTTGCTATAGTGGGGAGTCTGGTGCTGGAAAGACGGAGAACACCAAGAAGGTCATCCAGTATTTGGCTGTGGTGGCGTCCTCACACAAGGGCAAGAAGGACAGCAGTGCAGTAAGTGTCCATGTGACTCGACATGGTGTGTTATGATCATTTAGGACGTGCCAACCAGTTCCCTAACTCTTGGACACCCAATGTCTGCCCACTTTAATCCTGTATGTCACCATTTCCTCCAAATAGCAACAATCAGGAGCACAGTTTGCCTACGTGAGTAAAGGGGAAACCTGGTGTGTGTTTTTGTGTGTGGTGTTGGTGTGTGTTCTCTCATTAGGTTAGAAAATGCATGAAGATGTTGCCCACCTTTAAAATAAAATCCTCATTTTATAATTGATATATTTTACGACAGCAAATGATCAAGAATCTTTTAAATTTAAAATATATTATAATAATAAAATATAATACAATAATATTCTTCTGACTTATAAACTCTGTATATTTAGGCTGTCATCAGTAAACTCTATACAAGAAGTGGATAAAGCTGTTGCATTACAGAAGTGAAGCTGCATTAGAAAATCAAAAGTACATGGAAGGAACTGCATATGACTGTGTTTTACTTGACATAAAAGGGGAGGGGCACCTGAAGAGTTGCTGGTCTTATTCCCAATCACAGATTTATTTTAAATTACATCACTAACAATAGATAAATGATGATATTATTGCCCTATTGCATGATTTACCTGTCAATCATACACAAGGGCTACCTACCTAGACTAGAACAGGGGTCCCCGCATCCTCCCACCCACCAACTGATGGCGATACAGAGCCAGGACCTCCTTACATCAACCTCTCCCAGTGTCATGTATAGACGTAGCTGTTTATTTTGCATTCAGTTCTAAGCTATTCTGTTATTATTATATACAGCTCTTATTAAATACAGAAGCTATCAGAGGAGGAGGAGAGGCTCTTATTCAAGCAAAGTAAATACACACAGAGTTACTTCTTTAACCAGAGCTGCACTTCTGGTTGACTTCTGCTGCTTCAGATGGAAAACCTAACGTTCAGCTTCAGACGGGTGAATCCATTTCTTATATACAGTCTTTGATCTTAACCCAATCAGAACTGATTTGAACTGCATGACTACATCATTATTGTCATCCTCATCATATAAATACTGGCTAGTCATCACGTTTCAATGCTATATAAAATAATTTAGCCAAGTGTAAGCTATCAGTGTTTGCTCCTGAACGGTACTGTGTACTGTTAGTGCTGTGTTGATTTTTGTGTTGCCTGTCTTTTTGTTTGGACATCGGTTCACTGCCACAGAGACCGAAGCCTCCGTGGCAGTGAACAGGTCTCTCACAGATCAACGAGCACAGTGTGAGCATGCACGTCTGCTGATGTTGTCTCTCAAACACCTTCCTCTCCCTCCCTTCCTCCCTTTTCCCTCCCCTCTCATCCTCCATCCTGCCAGTTGCCCTGATATGGAACAGAGTGATCATCTTGTTATTTGGTTGTGGTTGTTTGTTTTATGGCAGGTTATAATGGTTTGTGGTCTTGGTCTGAAGACGAAATATCTTGTTAAAACAGCATTTCTTCAACATAGGACCTCAGGTTGACCTGTGACCTCGGCCGGACAGACGTTACACTGACCTTGCAGCTTTTTCATCACAGTTTCTCCTGATCCACTGCTCTGTCCTTTCCAGAGACCTGACAGCTTCTCTGTTGCTGTGACTTTGTCTTTCTTTACTGCTGAATTTCTCTGTTTCTCCTCTCTACTGTTTTTTCTTCTGTCGTTTTCCAGTGACTTAAAGTCTAAGGAGCCGCCTTCCTCTGCTTTGCCCACCTTCATCATCGTCAACCTCTGGTCTGTATCTTCCCTGTTTCTGCACAAGCTTTAAAACATTCCTTTAACGTGAGGACAGTTACAGCAGAGGAGTGAACAACAGCATGTCATTAGAGAAAAGGAAATACCTACCTACTGTTATCTTTCCTTCATGTAAGTTTAAAGTCTGATCCATGAGACCTGATGACACCTGCTGGTTGGACGGCACATTGCAACGCACTTTTCCACCCTTGTCAGGGAAATACATGTATCTCTTTTTGTCTTCCAGAAAAAAATGTCATTGTAAAAAAAAGGATTTTAAAATAATTAATAAGCACATGTTAGATCGTCATGTCAACAAGAAAATTAAGACAACCTGTGCCTGTGGAACAACTGCGGTGACGCCTCACATCAAAGCATTGTACTGTTTGAAAGCATATGAAGTTACAGTATGCTCGTATTAAATTAATTAATTAATTATTTTTAAATGTATTAGATTTAGTTTATTTGAACATCAATAACAAAATATGGATTTATTTAGACATTATTAGTTATTATTAAACCTTAACATTCATCCATTAAGAATTGTTTCTATAAAATATATGTCAAACCATTTTCTTTCAGATTTGTTTTTAACATGAGTTAACATATTAAATGCTGTGAGTAATTTTCTCCTCTTCTTCATGGTTTTATGGTCTAATTTTCAGTGGTAGCCGTTGGAATGGTTTTTAAGTGTAGGTGACTCAGAGGTCAAACCCTTTGATCAGATAAATTAGCTCCATGCTCAGTGACAGGTCGGCTGCCTCATTAACTGACTATCAGTTCATTTTCCTTTAAATGTTCTTTCAGTTTTAACAGGGATGACAAAATAAGATGTTTCTAGATCCAAACCTGTTGATGAGCTTTGAACATTTGAAAGTTTGGTTACAAATGTGTCTTTCGCTCTGATTTCGAGGGAAAAACCTGATCAAATTAGGTAACACAGCTCAACACTGGACAAAGGTGTTGGAGGCACAGAGATCAGTATGAACTAGTTTTAGTTCATTAACATCAGACAATAATCACCAGTTCCCCCTTCAGCCATCAAATACCGTACTCAGCAATGTATACTCCAAAGGACCAAATAAAGTATATTAAAGTGATTCTGTTCATCACTGTCTACACTAGGGGGAGTTAGAGAAGCAGCTCCTGCAGGCCAACCCCATTATGGAGGCCTTTGGAAATGCCAAGACCATCAAGAACGACAACTCCTCCAGATTTGTGAGTGCATTAATAGAGAACATTGTTGGCTGTTTATAACAGAGAACACAGTCGTGGTGTGTGTGTGTGTGTGTACATCTGTTAAACTACAACTGTAATCCTGTGCAGATCTATCTATCCCACCACTTTGTCCTTTAATATCCTCCCTCATCTCTTTGCAGGGAAAATTCATCCGCATCAACTTTGATGTGACTGGCTACATTGTTGGAGCCAATATTGAAACCTGTATCCTTCTTTTTAAAGTACAAGTGAATAATATATATTTAACACATACTTGTATAGATATACATGTATTTATTTTCATATTAAGGTAATGCTGATTGGTGTTAGACTTGTGTTCTTTAACAGCTGACTGTGGTCAGACCTGCTGGAGAAGTCTCGCTGTATCAGACAGGCAAAGACGGAGAGAGCTTTTCACATCTTCTACTACATGATCGCCGGAGCCAAAGACAAACTGAGAGGTGAGTTTACACTTTTTCACTCTTCTATTCACTCGTTAACATGGAAACTCTTTGGACATGAAATGATATGGTATACTGGTACTAGTATAGGTACTGGTGCATCTCTGCGGAGAGGACACAGGTGATGTGATGACACTACATGTACTCAAATAAATAACATTTGATCTCTTTGTCTTTTCTTCTCAGAGGAACTTCTCTTGGAACCATTCAGCAATTACCGCTTCCTGAGTGCAGGTCACGTCCAGATCCCTGCTCAGCAAGATGACGAGATGTACGACGAAACCATGGAGGCCATGAACATCATGGGCTTCACTGACGAGGAGAGAATCGGTACTCGTGACAATTATGGTCCATTTTCTGCAGTGGAGTGGGATTAGTTGGTGCGCTCTTGCCCTAACTGTCACAGTCTCTTGTTACAGACATCCTCAAAGTGTGCTCCACGGTCATGCAGCTGGGAAACATCGAGTTCAAGAAGGAGCGCAACCAGGAGCAGGCCACCATGCCTGACAACACTGGTGAAACATCTCTACATCTCCTCTAACAGAGATCCTAAACCTGGACCTGTGGTTAAGCTCAGATTTATCTAAGTTGTCATGAAATGAACTAAAACCCAATCAACTTCATGACTGGTTCATTCAGAATCAACTGTTCATCACAGATCACAGTTTCTTCTTGTACCTTCCTGTAGCAGTGCAGTGTATTAAAACATGTTAAAGCTCAGCTTCAGTGGTTGGAAACTTGATAGCTTCTTTCATTCCAATGCTAGATGTTTATCCCAAAAATCACACCACAATCATCACTTCCATGGAAGCTTGACTTTGTGTGATGTTAGTGGAGAAGTGGTGTTAAAGCTGGACTTCCACCATCTTTGTTCTTCCAATAAAAATAATCTCACCAACATTCTCCTTGTCTTCTCCAGCGGCACAAAAGGTGTGTCACCTGCAGGGTATCAATGTGACCGACTTCACCCGAGCTATACTCACCCCTCGAATCAAAGTGGGAAGAGAGGTGGTGCAGAAAGCACAGACCAAAGAACAGGTACTTTTACACATGTGGTGGGTGTCAAAACAGAATGTGTTTCCATTTGGAAAACATTCCAATATGGTGTATTTTAATAACTAAAAATGTATATATATATATATATATATATATACATATATATATATATATATATATATATATATATAATGGTTTCTTGCTGTGTATGTGTGTAGGCTGACTTTGCCATTGAAGCTCTGGCTAAGGCCATATTTGAAAGACTGTTCCGCTGGATCCTGGGTCGAGTCAACAAGGCCTTGGATAAGACCAAACGACAAGGAGCTTCCTTTCTGGGAATTCTGGACATCGCTGGCTTTGAGATCTTTGAGGTAAGGAATCAGACGAGTTTTACACCAGGAGTAAACACAGATGGGGTCCTCCATCTTCAGCCCCATCTTCTGACTCTTGCAGGATAACTCCTTCGAGCAGCTGTGCATCAACTACACCAACGAGAAGCTGCAGCAGCTCTTCAACCACACCATGTTCATCCTGGAGCAAGAGGAGTACCAGAGGGAGGGCATCGAGTGGAATTTCATTGACTTTGGCCTTGACCTGCAGCCCTGCATCGAGCTCATTGAGAGACCAGTGAGGAATAATAACTTATGTTGATAATAACTTATCAACATAAGTTATTATGTTCAATAACACGCCATAAAAGCCTGTTTATGAATTTACAGGAAGTTATGGGAAAGTTAAAATTCAGTTTAAATGTAGTCGATTGAAATAATGTGGATATTTCCACTTACTCTCCTTGCAGAACAACCCACCAGGTATTCTGGCCCTGCTGGATGAAGAGTGCTGGTTCCCTAAGGCCACAGACGTCTCCTTTGTGGAGAAACTGGTGAACACCCAAGGGAACCATATTAAATTTGCCAAAACCAAACAAATCAAGGACAAGACAGAGTTTTCTCTTTTCCATTACGCTGGAAGAGTGAGTGAATATTTTGTGTCCTTGCTCGTGCAGCTTCTGTTGATTAAAACGGATTTGTGTTGCTGTTATACTCAAAGGAGCCTGCTATTGTCCGTAGGTGGACTACAACGCCACCGCCTGGTTGACAAAGAACATGGATCCTCTGAACGACAACGTCACAGCTCTGCTCAACAACTCCTCCAGTCAGTTTGTACAGGACCTCTGGAAAGATGGTGAGATGTGGGACGATAGTGCGACTTTCACAGTTAGCATTTAGTTAGAGTTTTTACCTTCATATTCAAGCGTGAGCTGGAAAAACAGTGAAATTGACCAAAAAATCTTTTTTATTTTTTGCCAAAATCTGAAATGTTTATATGACTGATGTTACATTTTTAACAGACCAAATAAAATGTAATGATTCATCAAATTTTCAGCTGACAGAGTCGTTGGTCTGGACACCATTGCCAAGATGACAGACAGCTCCATGCCCAGTGGTTCAAAGACCAAGAAGGGAATGTTCCGTACAGTGGGACAGCTCTACAAGGAGTCACTGGCCAAACTCATGACGACACTGCACAACACCCAACCCAACTTTGTCAGATGCATCATCCCTAACCATGAGAAGAGGGTAAAAACTTCTTTCAGTTTTATACATGAAGGTCAGGTCTCACTGAAACACTGCCATTTTTATGATGCATCAATGTCATTTATGATTGTAAAAAAATTCTTTAGTCATTCTACGTTCTTTAGTCACTTTTATAAGGTGGGGAGTGGTGAAGAAAACACTGAGGGCGGTGCAGGGCTCCATAAAATGAAAAAAAACATTTCTTCTCAGGCAGGAAAGCTGGATGCTAACCTCGTCCTGGAGCAGCTGAGGTGCAATGGTGTGTTGGAGGGAATCAGAATCTGTCGACAAGGTTTTCCAAACAGAATTGTCTTCCAGGAATTCCGACAGCGGTGAGTTGAATCTTTAGCTCTTTAGCTTTCTGACATTTCTATCAGCTGTAGCTGACACCACATCTTTTGTATTACATCGCTTTTAGTTTTCTCACCAATTGAAGTCACATTATATCTGCTCACAGTTATGAGATCTTGGCTGCTAGCGCCATTCCCAAAGGATTCATGGACGGAAAACAAGCCTGCTGCCTCATGGTACTTTACATTTGCCAACTTTATTCTCTCCAAAACATGTATTTACTGTTGGGATCACATTGATTATTTTCCATTTGGATTATTTTCTGCACAGATCAAACACCTGGATTTGGACCCCAACCTGTACAGGATTGGACAGAGTAAGATCTTTTTCCGTACTGGAGTGTTGGCCCAGTTGGAGGAGGAGAGAGATCTGAAGATCACTGTGATCATCATCGCTTTCCAGGCACAGGCCCGAGGCTTCCTGGCCAGGAAGTATGAAACTTTTAGATAATTGTATTATAATAATGCCACTCCCCACTGGGAATATCCAACAGTACAGAGAAACTTTTGTCTTTAAACAATGTTAATGCTTTTGCTGCTGTATTTTTCAAGGGCCTTTGCTAAGAGGCAGCAGCAGCTCACAGCCATGAAGGTGATCCAGAGGAACTGTGCCGCCTACCTCAAACTCAGGAACTGGCAGTGGTGGAGGCTCTTCACTAAGGTCAGTTTATCCAACAATGTTACAGAACAGTCTTTTTTTTATGTTGTTTCCTATTGTTTTTCATTTTTTATCTCCACATTCTCCTGAACCACAGGTCAAGCCTTTGCTGCAAGTCACCAGACAGGAGGAGGAGATGGGTCTGAAGGAGCAGGAGCTGCAGCGGGCCAAAGAAGTTGCCACAAAGTTTGAATCTGAGCTGAAGGAGATTAGCTTGAAGCACACCACTGTAAAGACTGAAATCTTCCAAATGAGACCTTTCTATTTAAGACGGAAAAACAAATGTGTTCATAGAAAACTGTTATGTGTTGTGTAGATGGTGGAGGAAAGGAATGCACTGCAGGAGCAGCTGCAGGCTGAGACGGAGCTGTACGCCGAGGCGGAGGAAATGAGAGTTCGCCTAGCGGCTAAGAAGCAGGAGTTGGAGGAGATCCTGCATGAGATGGAGGCCAGGCTGGACGAGGAAGAAGAACGCGCTCAGATGCTGCTAGTGGACAAGAAGAAAATGCAGCAGCAGATGCAGGTCCACATCAACAGCTGTTTTTCATAGTTAATATTCTGAAAAACATGCTTTTTCTTTTTAAATTTCATCCTTTGCATCTCATGTTCATGTTCATACAGGAGTTAGAGGAACACTTGGAAGAGGAGGAAGATGCCCGTCAGAAGCTGCAACTGGAGAAGGTGACCTGTGAGGCCAAGATTAAGAAGCTGGAGGATGACATTCTAGTGATGGACGACCACAACAACAAACTGATGAAGGTAACAACTAGAAAACTATCAGAATACATTTTAAATATTTTGTATTTAAACTTAAAATATCATATAATACTGTATAATACACAGATGAATAAAGAAATGGACTCCCTATATGCTGTGTTTTGTAGGAAAGAAAGCTGATGGAGGAGAGAATCGCAGATTTCAGTACCAATCTGGCAGAGGAGGAGGAGAAATCTAAAAACCTCACCAAACTCAAGAACAAACACGAGTCCATGATCTCTGAGTTAGAGGGTAACTGTTTTTTATTCACCAGTGTTATTAAAAGTGTTATTAAATCATCATCACTTTTTAGTGTTTTAGGTTCACAGTAAGAAATGTATCTTAGGGCGTTAGGGCTGTCAGTCAATCAAAATGTTAAATTGTAGTTAATGGCATGGTCGTCCATTTTTAAATTCCTATAATTTCAAATTTTTCTCTTCCAAATGAACCTTAAGAATCATATTTTTCCTATTTTAATAGGAATATTTAATATATTTTTTCCAGCAGGGATGTAAAGATAGATTTTCTAAATCCTTGTTTGTTTATTCCACCCATACATTACTACTGTGTAGTAGCTTTTTTATATTTCTCTCTTTAAAAATAGTTCGTTTGAAAAAAGAAGAAAAGTCCCGACAAGAGCTGGACAAAGCTAAGAGAAAGTTGGAGGCGGAGACAAATGACCTCCAAGAGCAAATTGCTGACCTTCAGGCTCAGATCGCCGACCTCAAGGCTCAGCTCGCCAAGAAGGAGGAGGAGCTACAGAACGCCTTAGCCAGGTAAAGGTTCAAAAATCTTACTGTAGGTAAGTACAACTTTAAGTCCAGGTGTTCTTAGTTCAGGAGTATCAACTGTGTCTCATTTACAGGTTAGAAGATGAAACGGCCCAGAAGAACAATGCTCTGAAGAAGATCAGGGAGCTGGAAGGACACATCTCTGACCTGCAGGAGGACCTGGACTCTGAGCGAGCAGCCAGAAACAAGGCCGAGAAGATTAAACGAGACCTGGGGGAGGAGCTGGAGGCTCTCAAGTCTGAGCTGGAGGACACTTTGGATACCACGGCTACACAGCAGGAACTAAGGTTAAAGGAACAGCCCGACCTTTTACACTGTTCACCCCCCTAACTTTTCTGCAGTGCCCCCTATTGTAGATGGAACTGTTTTCTAGTGCCCACACATCAATACACTCACAGCTGCAATTTCTACAAAACTGCTATTTTTATTGAACAAACATTCATTTCAGCTCACCCCATGCTCCTCATATTGGGAACCACTGGCTCAACCAAGTGTTATTAGCGCTTTTGTTGGACAAATGTTCACATAATTTGCCATCTGTTTTGCAGAGCCAAGCGTGAACAGGAAGTGACCCTGCTGAAGAGAGCCATCGAGGATGAGAACCGAACCCATGAGGCGCAGGTTCACGAGATGAGACAGAAACACACCCAGGCTGTGGAAGAGCTGACGGAGCAGCTGGAACAGTCCAAACGAGTACGGCAGAGTTAACACACACACACACTCAGTGGTTCACACAGTGTGGACTGTCGATGCCCCCATCCCCACGTCAACTAACGCTCTCTAGTTTTAAAAATAAAAAAAATATTTTAAACTACTAATATCATGAAATTAAAAAAAATAAAAGTGTAAATTATTAGTTTTCCTCCACTGCAAAAAATAAATCTTTTCTCTGGGAACTACTGCACAGTGGAGTTTCACAGTTTGACCGTCTCCTTCCTCCGTCTGCTCAGGTGAAGTCCAACCTGGAGAAGACCAAACAAGCAATGGAGAAGGAAATTTCAGAAATAACCATGGAGGTGCGTTCACTGACCCAGGCCAAACAAGACGGGGAGAACAAGAGGAGGAAGTTGGAAGGTCAAGTCACGGATCTTCAGTCACGCTTCAGCGACAGCGAGAAACAGAAGGCGGAGCTGGGAGAGCGCTGCTCCAAGATCACCGTAAATAATCCACCACATCATGACTGTACAGACAAAACAAAATGATCTCTAACTAAAGAACAAAACAACACACCATCAAACACACCACATCAATTTGGGCTCAATAGCAGTTAGATGTAGCAGATTTGGGGCATGATTGACTTTTTTTAATTACCAACCTTTAGGAAATAGGGTTTGTATGTACACACTTCTGTCTGAATGTCCCAGAGACTTTATGTTGACCTTCATACAGATCGAACTGGAGAGTGTGACAAACCTTCTGAATGAAGCAGAAGGAAAGAACATCAAACTGAGCAAAGACGTCACCAGTTTGTCCTCCCAACTCCAAGACACACAGGTGAGTGGACACACCAGAGGTATCATTAACCATAAACATCTTCACATATATAGTAGTTGTAATGGGAATGAAATGTCCTCAAGCTTTGACCTTGACCTGATCTGTGGCTGCAGGAGCTGCTGGCTGAGGAGACGCGTCAGAAGCTGCAGTTCTCTACCAAGCTTCGACAAGCTGAAGATGACAAGAACAGTTTGCAGGAGCAACTGGAAGAAGAGGTGGAGGGCAAGAGGACTGTTGAGAGACATGTGTCAACACTCAACATCCAGGTCAGGGGTTGAACGACTTCAATGGTTCTTAAATACAGTGCATTTGAAAGAATGCTCTCAAACTTAACATCAACTTCTTGTTGTTGTTTACAAACATCAGCTGTCAGATGCAAAGAAGAAGATGGATGAAATGTCAGGAAACATTGAACTGCTTGAAGAAGGCAAGAAACGTCTACAGAGAGACTTGGAGGCTGCCAACACGCAGTTTGAAGAGAAGGCGTCAGCCTACGACAAAATGGAGAAGACCAAGAACCGTCTGCAGCAGGAGCTGGAGGACACGCTGATGGACTTGGACAATCAGAGACAGAATGTGTCCAACCTGGAGAAGAAGCAGAAGAAGTTTGATCAGGTCAGACAAACTGCCACACTTAGTAATTAAAAAGTATTGTTGGACTTGTTAAAACCACTGACTCAGGGTTTTCTCTTCTCCAGATGCTGGCTGAGGAGAAGAGCATCTCCAGTAAATATGCTGATGAGCGAGACCGTGCTGAAGCTGAGGCCAGAGAGAAGGAGACCAAAGCTCTGTCCCTGGCAAGAGCCCTGGAAGAAGCTCAGGATGCAAGAGAGGAGCTGGAGAGAGCCAACAAGGCCCTGAAGACAGACATGGAGGATCTGATCAGCTCCAAGGATGACGTGGGAAAAAATGTAAGAGCAGAACGAGTCACTTCTCCGTCACTCTGTAGAGAGGAAAGACTCGGTTATGTTAGTAATAAAAAACCACATGACCACAGGTTCATGAGCTGGAGAAGTCCAAGCGAGGCCTGGAGGCCCAGGTGGAGGAAATGAAGACTCAGCTGGAGGAGCTGGAGGATGAGCTGCAGGCAGCCGAGGATGCCAAGCTGCGTCTGGAAGTCAACATGCAGGCTCTGAAGGCCCAATTTGAGAGAGACCTCCAGGGACGTGACGAGATGGGAGAAGAGAAGAAGAGGCAGCTGGTGAAGCAGGTAAGAAAAGAACAGATACTTCAATCAGATGAAAACCACCTGCTGCCACCGGAGGTCCATGAAGTGATGAATACTCACTGACAACAGGTCCGTGAGTTGGAGACTGAGCTGGAGGACGAACGTAAACAGAGGACACAGGCAGCAGCAGCGAAGAAGAAGCTGGAGACCGACATTAAAGACCTGGAGGGACAAATTGAGACGGCAAACAAAGGACGTGAGGAGGCCATCAAGCAGCTCCGCAAGCTTCAGGTTTGAATGAAGGAATGGATGATCATCGGTCTTTATTCAACAGAATAAAGGACAGAGGACGGACAACATCTCCTCGTCTACTTAGTCTTGAGCATAAACTCAACTTTTTTTTTCTACTACTGCTTCTTGACCTTCCTGCAGGGCCAGATGAAGGACTTCCAGAGGGAGCTGGAAGACGCTCATGCTGCCAGGGAGGAGGTGCTGTCCACCGCAAAGGAGAGTGAGAAGAAGGCCAAGAGTCTGGAGGCTGAGCTGATGCAGCTGCAGGAGGTAACAGAGTCAGAGACGGAGTCGGAGATAAAGACACTTATTTGACTGTAGTTTGACGGAGTCAACATATTTTCCTCTTCTTCAGGAACTGGCTGCAGCGGAGAGAGCGAGGAAGCAGGCTGAAGCTGAAAGAGACGAGCTGTCTGACGAACTGGCCAGCAACTCCTCTGGAAAGTGGGTTGAGTCTTTTTCTGCTTGTCTCAAATGGATGTTGAAAAACTGTCTATTCAAATACTATCTTTGCCACTGTGTTCAGGTCAGCTCTGTCAGATGAAAAGCGTCGTCTTGAAGCCAAGATATCCCAGCTGGAGGAGGAGCTGGAAGAGGAGCAGAGCAACATGGAGATCCTCAATGACAGGCTGAGGAAGAGCACACAGCAGGTGGCCAGAATGATGAAGAACTTCATGTCCTCTCTTCCTACTGCATTATGACCCGCAGGCTAACAGCTTGCCCCCCCCCCCCACTATAGGTGGATCAGCTCAACGCCGAGCTGCAGACGGAGCGCACCACCTCCCAGAAGAACGAAAGCGCTCGACAGCAAATGGAGCGTCAGAACAAGGACTTGAAGGCCAAGCTCCAGGAGATGGAGAACCAGGTCAAGTCCAAGTTCAAGTCTTCTATTTCTGCTTTGGAGGCTAAAGTGGCTCAGCTGGAGGAGCAGCTGGAGCAGGAGAACAGGTTGGGACAATCAACATTCCATTTTCTTAATCAACATTAGTGTTCATCCTAATCCACAGTCTTCATCATCATCATCATCGCCATCTCTTCTGTCTCCTGTCAGGGACAAGCAGAATTCTGCTAAGAACATCCGGCAGAAGGACAAGAAGCTGAAGGATCTGATGATGCAGGTCGAGGACGAACGAAAGCAGGCAGAGCAGTACAAAGACCAGGTACTACCAAGTAGGACACTGTAGTGGAGGAACATTAGTTTCATATAGTTCATTCCTTTCCTCTCTCCCTACTGCATTATGCCCCGCAGGCTAACAGCTTGCCCCCCCCCCCCCACTATAGGTGGATCAGCTCAACGCCGAGCTGCAGACGGAGCGCACCACCTCCCAGAAGAACGAAAGCGCTCGACAGCAAATGGAGCGTCAGAACAAGGACTTGAAGGCCAAGCTCCAGGAGATGGAGAACCAGGTCAAGTCCAAGTTCAAGTCTTCTATTTCTGCTTTGGAGGCTAAAGTGGCTCAGCTGGAGGAGCAGCTGGAGCAGGAGAACAGGTTGGGACAATCAACATTCCATTTTCTTAATCAACATTAGTGTTCATCCTAATCCACAGTCTTCATCATCATCATCATCGCCATCTCTTCTGTCTCCTGTCAGGGACAAGCAGAATTCTGCTAAGAACATCCGGCAGAAGGACAAGAAGCTGAAGGATCTGATGATGCAGGTCGAGGACGAACGAAAGCAGGCAGAGCAGTACAAAGACCAGGTACTACCAAGTAGGACACTGTAGTGGAGGAACATTAGTTTCATATAGTTCAGGTGTCTCAAATTGGCCAGGGGGCATTTATAGCCCATGACCCCTTCACATGTGGTCCAAAGTTAGATGTCAGTTTTAATTTAATTTTGCCCATGAAGAAGATTTAAAATAGTTTCATTTGATCATTGAAATGCTTCAGTAGGTTTAGTACATCCACCCCACCGCCGCCCTCAGCCCCCAGTTCAGTTGAGTTAGAGATGTTTCACTTTACTTTTGGACTGAGTTTGTTTATGAGAAAACATATGGAGAAAACTACACAGACAGTTGAGAAAACACATGGAGAAAACTACACAGACAGTTGAGACAGTTCTCCGCCCTATATTTGCCCACTAGAGGACACTGTGTTGCACTTTGAAATACTGGATAGAGTCCAATGGTCAGTTTCTCTGTAAGAGAATAATGATGAGGCAGTGAGTAAGTCCAAGTTGTAAGTTACATTCCTGATTTTTACAACAGGCAGAAAAGGCCAACACTCGTATGAAGCAGTTGAAGAGGCAGCTGGAGGAGTCAGAGGAGGAGTCTCAGCGGGCCACAGCCGCCCGCAGGAAGCTGCAGAGAGAGCTGGATGAAGCCACAGAGTCCAACGAGGCCATGAGCCGCGAGGTCAACTCACTGAAGAGCAAACTCAGGTAGGACCCAGGGCTGATGCGTCTGTTTGAGGATGTCCACTAATGTCTAGAGTATTTTTTACAGTTTTTTTTTAATCTAACAGGGTACAAGGATTTGAAAATGTTACAAATAAAAAAAACACACTACAATTTAAAAGCAGACAACTTGATGATACTACTGATGCTTGAACAAAAAGAAGGAAGTGGGTTGAGAAAAGGACTGGACTGGGATCAGTTTTTACAACTGCTTATAATACAAAACTTTTCCTGAAGACTACATGTGTAAATACAATGCGAGTAAAACTTTCATGGGAAACTCCTGCAAAGTATTACAAATATTACAACGTGGAAAATACACACAGTAGTTTACAGACACTTTGACATTTAAAGGAATAAAATGAAGCAGGTTTTACCAAACACAAACAAATATACAAATATATATCCATCTCTATTCCAGAGGCAACCCTGAACCCAAGGAGTAACACAGCAGGTATTTCTGCAACTAAATGTTGCCCCATCACCACCTCTTCATCAAACCCTGACTTCAACTTTTGTAATGACATGATGCACCGTCTTATTGCTTCTACCTCTGGCTCTGAGCCTTGCTGAGGGAAATGTGGTTCATCAGAAGCAGATTTACTTTTCAGTTGATTATTATTCGATCCTATATTTCTATCATTTTTCTGGTCGGCCACATTTGTCTCAGTGCTTGGTTTATTGCAGTAAACCAAACTCATTTCCCTGAGCCGGGGAGGTAAATGAGTTACAAACATAACCAGCGTGCCTAACCTTCAATCACAGCGCCACCTGTTGATTCTGTATGTCAGCAGAAGCCGTCATCATAGACTGTATATAAAAACTGGATGTAACTGTAACTGTGACTCTCAAAGAAGACAGAAGGTTTTTAGTTAGTATCAAAAGTAACTCTGTTAGTCCTGAGAACTTTACCTGGAACTTTTGTTCACAAGGTTCAGGTCTTCAATAGAACATGATGACAGTTTCTTGGACTACAATCCCATTTAGCGGAAAGATGATGATAAGGTACGGCAGGGGGATACACACTGGATGGAATTAGTTGCTGGATGATTCAAAGGTGCTAAATCACTATCATCTATTTTCATTATAATTAGGGCTGAAAGAAATGAGATGAACAGTAATGACTAAAATCCACCAACTCTATGAAGAGACATTTTTAATGGTTATTTTTCTCAACACTTTTACATAATAATACTTCCATCATTTGGATTTGTACTAATAAAATAAGGCGAGAAACATCTACCTGCTGATATTGGTCTCTGTTCCAAAAACTTACTAAAAAAATATTTTGACATTTTTAGGAATGTGGATTTGGTCGATTATTCAAGATGAATCATGAATAATCATAATTCATAATAATCATATTATGATATTTATAATATCATAATAATAATAATTCATTATTAATTAATAAGTATTAATAATTATTTATTATTATAATTATTTTTATTTTATTATTATTATTATTTTAATTATTTTAATATTATATTAATATTATTAATATATTATTAATAATTCATAATAATCATAATAATAATGATAATAAATCATAATGAAAATGAATAATCACAATCATAATCATGACTGTGATTAAATGATGTGGTTTGTGATAAATTAGATTAAAATATTTAAATCTTTTGACAGCCCTAATTGTAATCTAATCTACATTGACATCAAATGCTCCTGAACGAGATCTAAACCAGCCAAACTACCGTCTCCAACCACGTAGCTCCGCCCATTTCTTATATACAGTCAGTGGGTCCGTTTGAAAATCTGCCAAAGTGAACACGTTTGCACCTGTGCTTCCAGGCGTGGAAACGAACCCTCCTTCAGCAGTGCTCCCCGACGTATGGGTGGAGGTCGGAGGGTGGTGGACGACGCCTCAGAGGAGGACGCTGACTCCCAGAGCTTCAACGGCACAAAGTCTATGGAGTGAAGGGATGTTTATAAAAAAATCAATTTAACTAAATCACCTTACAGGGTCTGCCACTTTATTTTCCCAACCCCCAGAAGATATCAATTATAAAACATAAATATATATACATTTCTTTCCTTCCATTTCCGAGCGCATACTTATCTGTCTTCTTGTTTCAGAGCACGTTTCTCAGCTACGTCAGGATTAGTGGAGAGCAGGTTCACTGAAGGCTGTGCTGATGTGGGTTTTGCAGTTTAAATGTTTAAATTCTACACTGTGTTGTGCTGCACTGAATGACTGATATTCTCCTGTGTAACCTTGTGGTACACGATGATGCAGTAGCTGCCTCTCATTACTACAGTGATCTGCTTCCATAGTACAGACGTGTGTACATTTGCAGGTGTGTAACTGTGACCAGCGTCCATCTTCCTGTTGCCTGTGACTGCTGTTAGTGTTTCAGAGCCCGACCACAGAGGTGGTGGGTCAGACGGTCTGACCAGTGCTGTCATATGTCATATGTATCCTGGTGAAACCATTATTTAGCTCTTCAAACCGTGAGGATTTTCTTCTTTATTTCCACACTTCTGTTACCAACGAAGATTAATTTAGTTCACAAAGAGAATAACTGAATGTTCTTTCTTCAACTATAAACTGTTGAATTGAAACTTTGAGGCACCCATTTCTTTACATGTTCAAATGTCCCCGGTTACGTACAGCCCCTGCCTGTATTCTACTGAAGTTTACAGGACACCATTCACTTCTATTCATTTTTGAACCACCTGCACAATAAATAAAGACAATAAAAAAAACCTTTGGTTTCATCTTTTTAATGTTTAATGTTGTGTTTGAAAGTTTGAATTTCAGCAACATTTCACACATTGGTAAAGATTAGTAGAAAAAAAAAATCAGCAGCAGACCAACAGAAACATTGGGTTCAGTTCCTCAGTTGTTGAAGGCAGACACTCAGTTACACAGGGGTTTAAGATGACGGTCACAAATGGTGTGTTGGTATGAGAAAGGTCAAAGGTCATAGCTCGACTGTCAAGCACGGTGCTTTATGAGTAGTATTTAGTCACTACGGTAAATGTCCATGAGATGAAGCTAATGTTCTCCCAGTCCCACCGTCCATTAGTTATGCTCCAGTGCAGTTCTGTCCACTGTGAGAAATGTTTGGACAGAGTGATGAGAATCATCAGACACTGGTGAGCATGTCAGATATCTGAGTCAGAGTCTGAGGTCAACTCAACTCAAGAGTGACGTCAAGTAGGACGAAGAGTCCATTCACAGGTGTCAGGTTTTCTGTGAGTCTCTGAAGACTAGTCTTAGTAAATGTCCCTTCTGAGATTATTAAAACTCACACATTTGGTTTCACCAAACTGGATAATGTAAACCCTTCTCTGTTCCAGAGGCGACCATGAACCCTGGGAGTCACAGTAAGAACTTGATGTCACCAAGTGTTGCCTCATCACCATTTCTTTTTCCATCATAGCCTTACAATAACTTTTGTAATGACCTAATGCACAATCTAAGTGCTTCTACGTCTGTCTCCCAGCCAGGGATGGGAATGAATAAGAATCTACCAGTTCTTTTATCAATATCACTTATTGATTCTGGAAATAAAATATAGTACAAATCCATTTGTTTGCATTAACTCTACATAAACACATACTGTATATCAATATATATATATATATACACAGACAGTAACATTAGCCTGAGGTTACACTTGGTCACAGACATGATCATCTCCTAACACTAGTCTCTTGGTCTCTGCTACAGGATTGGTTTTTGCATGGTAAAAATAACCTGTTCTACTTTTCATTCTATTCTTCAGCTAACTGAAAAAGAAAGAGCAAGTGCAGGAGCTGCACTCCGTATATATTCTGGGAAGAAAATTGTCCTCAAATCCTGAAGGTGTTTTATCTGGTTTATCAGAGAGGGTTCTTCTTCTTTTAAGGTACGACATATCAGAAGCAGTTGTCAGTGTTTTACAGCAGTCACTTCCTGTCTTGGTGTTACACAAGCTGTAGTGCTGCTTTATGTGACAGATATGCTATGATTCTAGCCCCAGGCAGCTGGAGTCTGTGCGTTGATCAAGAAGTGAACACAGTGGTTTGCTTGTTGGAGCGGGTCAGTTGGGTCAATGACAGACGTAGCTCACTGGAAAAGTCCCATTGCTGTAGTTTATCATGGAGAAAGGGGGAAAGGAGGAGTTATTGAGATCGGTGAAAGAGGACAGCTCATCTTTTGCTCGTCTCACAACAGGATTTTAACTCCTCCCTGTGGAGACTGTGCCCCTTGTGAAGATCCTCTCGGAGGAGCAGGTCCAAACTCCAACCTCTTCACTAAACTGCAAGACAAGATTTTAAAAATATATATATATTATTAATAATGGATTAACTTACAACTGACAACACATGTACTGTTATTCTAAAGCAGTGGTTCCCAAACTTTTTCTGCAGCACTCCTTTTAGAATATAGGACTACTGTCCCCCCGACCCCTCCCATGTTGAAACACCCACTGTTAAAACATTGTTATTATTGAAATACAATATCAAATCAGTGCATGTCCTTATTGTGGGAAATTTCAGTTATTTTGAACCTCTGCAAACTCTCTACAGCCCCCAGGGGCGTTCTATGGTATTAAAGCACAGTAAAATTTAAAAGTAAAAATGTACCAACCCTACACAGTTCTGACATTAGCATTTAAAACAGTACTATACTGCATTTGAAAAAGTACCGGTCACAGTGCTTCAAGACATGTCTAACCAAGGGTGAAAAACACTTCCAACGAAACATTTAAAAGACAAGCTCTTTATTTGTTTTCCAGAGATGTAAATGCACACGTTCATGATCTCCACAACTTTAATTTAACCATTTAATATTTCATATTCCTTCCTTACCTATCATACTGTGGAGGGGAGCTCAGACTGGCAGCCGGGACGGCAGGGCTACCTTCCAAACCAGCAGGAAACCCCGGGGCAGCTTGGAGTGCTGCTCTGTTTACAGACGTGTCATAGACAAAGTCTCGACAGGAAGCTAATTTGGACTCCAAGTTCTTTGAAAAACAAAAATTAGAGTAAGCTTTAATGTGTGAACACCAAGCAAAGAATCAGACGAAGAAAAATAAAACATCTTCAGGATGACCGCTGGTCTCTGACTTTACAAGATTCACAAAATATAAATGTCATAAACATAAAAATGTACTCAATCTCTTACTCCAACTTTTCTTAGCAGCTCCCCAACGATGTTAAGTGCAGATATTCTGGCAGATGTGGTGAGAGGAGTCCCTGTTAGTCCGTCACCTGAGAACAGAACCCTAATGTTAAAATGCTTTCTTCACACAATGCTAGTAAATAGGTCTCACAGTACCGCCATTAGACATGGGTGGGGTTTTTTTAATACCTCGTCGTATAGCAGAAGCCGGAGGTGTGGCATATGAGTTGAGAGGTTTAGAAGGCGTCACTGGGAAGGATGGACATGACAGATCAGGTCGATCGCCGTCTTTGCCGAGGCTGCTGGATGGACGTCTTTCCTTCTGACGTACGGCTAGCTCCTGACGAAGGTCTGACACAAACAGATAAACAGAGAGTCCGCTTTTTTTATCAGACACTGGACCACAACAAACAAAGGTTTCCTTTACGTCTATCAACATGTTTCAAGTTGGTTGGTTTTTAATTTTGTCCATTTAAGTTTCTGTTGCTCAGTTCATTTCTGTTCTGGTTCTTCTTCACCTCTCCCTCCTCTAGCTCTGTCTAATTAAGGCAATTAAGACAAAGGCAAAAAGCCAGTTTCATGGATGGACAACTATCTGTGTCACCTTAAACAACAGTATTTTCACATCATTGTGTGCTGAAGTACTTTTTACCTCTCGCTTCATCCTTGAGTCTCTGCACAGACTCCAGGAGATTTTCCTTCTCGTCCAGCTCGCTCTCAAGGAAAGCATTTCTTTCAATGACTTGGTTCATGCGCTGCTCAAAGTCCTCAAGGGACATGATGGTCGCCCTGGAACACAGAGGACAGTTCACTGTTTGACTGTTTGTGATATGGTGGGAGTTTAATAAAAATCCTGGCATGTAACTCATGGACAGTGGTAATCGATTGTTTGGACGCTGACCTTTTGGTCCTCTCCAGATCATCGTTGGACTGTTCCAGCTCTCTGATGTATTTCTGCAGGTGATCTCTGATGGCACTGGTTTCTGCCAGATCTTCCTCCAAAGTTGAGATGTGCCTCAGAGCCTCTGAGTGCTGCGTCTCAAATTTCTCCTACAAACAGCAATAACAACTGAATGACAATGGGGTTTTTTGTCTAAACAAGAACTATAATTTTTCCCATCAACACCCTCCCGTCAGATAACACAGTGTTTGGGGATATTCTGTCTCTGTGTTTACAGCATTTACATAAGCAGAACAATCCTGCATTTAATTCCTTCACTGTCTCAGTCTTTTGAAGCACCACTGAACAAAAATAGCAGTCAGCTGCTTTGAGCTATGTCGCATTTCCCCCCCACAGGCAGTGTCACTGATGAAAAGCTGCTTGTGTTTGTGTAGGTGTGTCCTTGTATTTATTTATTGAAATAAATTACCTTCATGTTTTCTAGTTCCCTGCGAAGTCGGTTGTTGTCTAAAAGCAATTCTTTGTTTCGACCCTCACACTGCTTCAGCTCCGTCTCCAGTTCTGCTTCGTAGTCTCTGCTCATCTGTTGAAACTCCTGCAGCTCCTCCTGAGACTCGTCTGCCCTGAAGTGACAGAACAGCGTTGATCTCCTGGCTAATGAGCTATAGTGGTTCCAAAGTCTTTGTTGTGTAGAGTTATGCAGCCTTTTATTGCTACCTCTGTTGTTGTCTGTGTGCCTGCTCCTTCCAAAAGCTCAGCTCCTCTTCTAGGGATGCAAAGTCGCGTGCTGATGGCTCTACCATGTCTACACGGTGTCCGGATGATGGGGGCTCTTCGGCGAACTGCAATAGAAATCGTATTACAGCCATGTAAGCTGCACAAAGAACTTTCAATTCCATTGCTAACAAAGTGAGCTAAAATAGGCCACCGCGCCAGGGTTTATTTGAATGCGGGTATGTGTTTGCATGTCTAGGTTAAAAACTTAGAGAAAACTATACGGGCCTGAGTCATTTTTAAAGTTTAATTTCTCTGCACATAACTTTGGAAAATGCTTCATACCGTCACTCTCAAAGCTAAGCTAACGTAGCTAGTGGCTAAGCCACTCACACCAGAACAGATTGAACAAATTGAACAAAACCCAAGTGGACTTACCTGCAAATTGCGGGTCGGTTGGAATAAACCAATATTAAGAAAATATGTACGAAGTGTTAATATCTATTAAAGAGCAAAAACGAGTCGTATTATGACTTGCACAAACTAATCTCCGATCGTGTTTCGCTACCAGTTACAACGATATGCAACTCTCCAACCAAAAACAAACTAGGCTTCAGTTCTCCATCATCATTGGGCAACTTGGATGACGATTGAAAAGATGAACCAATCAGCGTATTTGGTGAACACTTCCGCCTCCTACTGTTGTATTGTTGTCATTAACAAAAGCTTTTAAAAGTATGTTCAAGATGCTCTAATTAATTAATGGAAATAACATTTTCAGAGTGAGTCGAGATCATTTTATGGCACCTTCTTCTAAACTGTCTATGCCCACAATTTGAATTGCTTATGTATGCTTCTTATGTATCTTAATTAACTACATTCTCTATTAAGGTTTGACTGTCGATATAGCTTGAGCTATAATTTGTTGTAGCTACCAATAAACTAACTTTTAGCTATTTTAAATAGAAATGACATGAAAAACGGTTGTTAAAAATACACCAAAAACATTGTTTATTTGTTTAACAAAGACAACAGAGTGGGAGGTAAAATCCAGGATATTGCTTTACATTCAACATGAACATACAGAGTCCACTACTGTTGTCATATTACAGTTACACCAAATTGAAAACACACACAAATTTATCATGCCATCTTGTTCCCTAATTAAACACGTGTTGGCTCATGTCAGCAGGACTGGTGTTGTTACATAGAACAACGTATTAAAGGGTAAATCATAACATTGAAATTCCAGAGAAAATTAAAAAATACATAAAAAATACTATGAAACATAAATTTTATTTCAAGCAGAGGTGAGCTTGGGACCTTTGTTACTTCTCCAGAAGGATTTTACAAACAACACTCTAACTTATACAGTAGAATTGAGTCAGATCCATGTGACATATGTCTTGTTTTAGATCCACTCAGTAAGTCATGTCTTTGCTTATGTTGCTCTGGCGGTGCAGAAATGTCAATACATTTTAATTATGGCTAGAACGAATCAAAAGCACACTGTGTTTTTTGTGTTGAAGTGTTCTGAAGACACAGGTCAGAGCCAGAGGAAGAAGTATTTCATGAACTTGGTATTTGGAATACTCACACCAAGCTGTCTTGACCAATCCATCCAATTTTGGACATACTTAATTCAGTGTATTTTTACATGTTACAGGTAAAAGGAAATAAGCAAAAAACAAAACCTCTGTGAGGAGGATTGCAGCATTTGCGTTGACAGTCCTGTGTTATACCTTACCAGATATTAACGTGTCCATGTCTTAATTTTGTCCATTTCAGGATGTATCATTATCTTAATATTTGTTCAGCGACAAAACCAGGGAGGCTGAGAGAATAGAAACAAATTCAATTTAAAGTCAACAGTATTTATCCATTTAGTAAACCAACGGTTTTATATGAACCAGTGTTGTGGAGTAAAGCAGTAACTATAGTTTCCTTCTCCTGCAGGAAGACTGCATCCTTTTTAAGATACATAATCAGTGCAGTGTAATGACAATGGATACATTTTCAACAAAAATTACATTATTGTCTTGTCATTTTACAGATCTCGTGAGCATGTACTGCAAATACGTAGTACGTAGGGAATTTAACATCACCTTAAGGGAGTCATTCTTCAGCCTTTTTAGAGCTTCTGTTGTCCCTTCGTGAGCATGTGTTCTTACAGTCTATAACATCCGTCTTCACTTGGCCCAGAGTTCGAAGCACACACATGGTGTCCAACCCCTCACCATCAGCCTCCTGTAGTAACTCCAGCACCTGGGGATAATATTTATAGTTAAATGACAGTTACACTAACAATGATCTCACTTCAGATTTGTGTCCCACCTGCAAACACTTGTAGGATTTTAGCTGACTCAGGTTCTCATGCAGGAACAACAGATAAATACTGAGGTCATTGTATAAGGGCTTGACCACACCCAGGGTGCCAAACCCTGGTAGTATCTCATACGGCCGCAGAAAACTGGAGCTCTGACGCGCGGGTCCAACACAGGCGTAGACCACCAGGGGAACCAGGAGCACATACACCACTAGGTTGATGTAACTGAGCAGTCTGAAGACACCTACTGCCACCAGCTTACATTGGACTGCAGGGGGCACAGTAGTGTCGTTTTTCAACACCCCAGTTCGCAGGTCACAGGGAAACTCGTCAGTGAATGAGGCCAGCTGGATGTAGTAGCCCAGGTAGATGCAGGCCAGCAGCAGGGTCAGCAGGGTCACACCCCTACACACCAGGTAGTTGACCACCAGATAATGGACCAATTGCTTGGTTTTCAAATATTGCTCCACTAATGGGTATTTGAAGCAGCTCTCAGTCAGATCCAAAGCACTGTTGGAAAATATGAATCAATATGGCGGGAAGGAAGAACAGAGAAGAAGGTTACACACTAAAACACTTTGTTGAATAGCAGCAATGGTACTGTAGCAGCAGCAGGGTGAACCCTGTCAGCATGTGTGGGTTTCAGCTATGGTATGACTTCCCTCCCCAGAATGGTGTTGACTGTACCTCTGGGTGTCCTCTGGTGCATCAGCGCTGGTTGCCAGATTCTTTGCTAATTTGATGGAGCGATTATAAAAGCGGTCCAACTCCTCCATGATGAAGTTGAGGTCAGAGGAGAGGTGTGGAGCTGCAGTGAACCTCCAAAACAGTGTTGGGATGTACATGAGGATGGAAAGTAGGAGGAGGATGTATGGAAAGAACTGAGCCGATTACAGAGAGAGACAGAGACAGAGAGAGAGAATGAAGAGGAGAAGATGAAGAAATCCATTAGAGTTAATGCGTAACTCCTGTCAGTTTGGCAGCTTCAGTCTGTGGCAGTATCGTGTTTGTATACCTTGTGCAGCCACAGTGGGGGGCCGTCGGCCTGTTGCTGCACTGCAGCCCAACAGAATGAGTCCACGTACGCAGCCTGTCTCCAGGAGAAGTTAGTGGGAGCAAAGCAGCTGATCTGGGTTCCTGAACGACAACAGCGAAGAATCAGTCAGGACTAAAACAGTACTTAAACCTAACCAACAGCTGACTTACACTGCAATGTGGTTTTTAGAAATACGGTTTCAAAACTTGTGTCTATTCAGAAACTACAGTCAACCCCACCAGACAACATTGACATCAGTCTAGATCAAACCCCATGATCCTTAGCCTCCTATCTCATTTATATTTATGAAAATAAGCATAGGCTGGATAAAAACTACTTTTTAATTTAGTGTTATTTAAATGTCATGTTTTAGGCACCAAACATGACCTTTAATCTCTATGTTTTTCTTCTTTTCTATTGTACTGAGATGCTTTGTCACAATTTATAGCAAACTTGTAAACACCTTAAAGGAATTCCGTTCAATGAATCTTGAAAGTCAAACAACCATTCATACTCATATTCACCGTGTGTGTGAACCTTACAGTGCACAAAATAAGAATGTTTGAAGAAAACCCGCACAAACGAAGAAAGACTCCAAACTAAAAAAAAAATCGGTTTCTAAGGATCAGGGATCGAATCTGTAACCTCCTTGCTGTAAGGCAAAAGCACAAACCACTATTCATTTGAGTAGCCAGATATTTTTAAAGAATGAGTTACTACATGTTTAATTTAATCTTTTAATCTAATTATTAGCATTAGCGCAACTGAACGTCTTTACCATATGGTCTTGGGACAAAACGAAAGGTGCGAACTGTGTTTAAAGGCTTGAATAAACAAGGACTGTTGGCCAGTACGTTGCAGCATCATCAGCATCATCATAGTCTGCAGCAACAGCATCAGCAGCAGCACATGCCTCGCTCTCTGTTGTGTCTCAGGGCGTGGGGGACAGAGGGTGGAGACTTGGACCACACCTTCTAAAGCCTTCACCGACTCTCTGTATCTGGTCACACAATCCACTGCATTACATTACACAATGGAGGCGAGGCTTCTCTGTACGGACCGGTGCAAAATTAAATTATATATATATGTGTATTTTTTCAGAGGATGTTCTCCAGTTTCAACTACTCACCCACTGACACTTCCTGAGCAAAGGCCAGAGATATGAGGAACAAAGGCAGCCCCACTGCCAGGAACGTCACTATTTTATCCACGGCCAGCTCCAGACGCAGCCCTTTGTATTTGGCCTCCGTGGGCTCTTTCAACAAAAAGTCGGAGAAAACGTACTCCGTGGCTACGTGAGCAATCGCCATGACGGACGGGAACAAATATCGCCGGTTTGGTCCTTTAAATCACCTGCTGGACAAGTCCGATTTCTCTCAAAGAACTGAATGAAAACTTCCTCCGAGGTTTGGACGGATAAAAGTTACCAACGTGAAACAATGGATAATATATCCTATGTTATGATGGAACCATGTCCACTCACTGCTGAGACCCGCTGTCCCGTTATTGCAACCTAGACACCACGGTCTGCAGCCGCTGCGAGGTGGACGAGTGCCTGACAACCACTAGTGGGCGCAGCTAACTCTTAAGTGCACCTGCCACACTGTCCAGAAACATAAACTCAAAACTGTGCTCACCACCTTATCAAATCAATTATTTTTTTCATCCGGTTAGTTTAAAATTGATTAAAAGTGTTTTCGATTATAGTGAATTACATTTTGTAATTTTTATACAATAAAAAATAAATGAAAACTGAATACGTAATGGTTGGGTATAAAGCTCCATAACCTTTTAAATAGTTTCCTGGGGCAAACCTTTCACAGATAGTCATTGTAAAACGTGTTCTATTGTATCTGCACTGCGTTGTATCTTGATGACGTGTTCATGAAACAGCTCTTGTGGGTAATGAATGATTTAATATTCTTGATTTAATACGATTTATTGTATTTATTGTAATTTACATCAGGTCTTTTCAGAATATCCACATTAAAGTTATGTATGGAAAACTTTTTTCATGGCAGATACCGTTTCAGAAAGATTTTCTGATGCTACAGATGGTACAGTGTGGCTTAATTGTTATTAACAGTACATTGTAGCCTTGTTGGTTTTTTTAACGATCGGACAATTTACTTTGAGGTTAAATGCAAACTGTTGAGCCACGACTGTTGTTTGTAGACACTGAGGAATTGTATTTTTCTCTGTAATGTTTATGGCAGTTGGCATCCTTTTGATTTGTTTCCTTCGTCTTTGGTCGGGCTATTTAATTTTTTAGTTGCTACGCCCTAAAAAAGAAAAGGATTAAACAAACAAAGCAATAAAAACAAAAAAAAAAGGCAAACCAAGTAGAAAGAATGTATAAAGGAATGAAATAATACAGAAATGGCAAAGAAAAACAATTGATACATAAATAAATAAAAAATGTTATATTTGGAACTGTTTACTTGTGAAACTCCCTGAATGATATCGGTAATTTACTACTTCAGTCTGACTTCTGTGTCCAAACCAATAAATAGTTGGCTATTACAACTCTTAAGCCTCTTTTGTCCTTTTAATCAAAGGTTCTGGTAAATGACCGAATATTGCCTTTTTATGTACACGTGGTTTGTATATACAGTTCAAAAACAAACATTCATATGCATTTGAATAGTAGTGAAACAAACGTTTGTCTAATATTTAATATCCAAGTTTCGACAATTCGTAGCTACAGCCATTGTTAGAAATTTGCGACATTCGTTGCTGCTTTCTGGCAGACGCAGGTTACAAAACGGTGCGGGTTTGTTAAGGAACCGAGAGAGGGAAATGGTCCTGTGAGGAAGATGTGAATACGAGATCTTCTCAGGTACCGTAGCATTGTTTTTGTCAAGAAAAATACATTTTTTCCTCTAATACAATAACATAAAAAAACTAGCGGCGCAGCTTTATGTCTATTAAACATGCTAAGTCATATTTAAGTCGGCGTTTGTTAGCCTTAACGCGACGATAGCTGCGTCCAAACAATTCATTTCAAACTAGCTCACATCAGTAGCATCTTAAATCTGTTCGCTAGATATTTTTAATAAAACGGTAGTTCACACGAAGTAACGCGGCTTGCAGGTTGGTTCGTTTGATTGATGGTTGAGAAAAACATGTCGAGTAAATAGTACGGACTGGTCAAGGTTCGCAGACTCTGCTTTGCAAACAGAGTTATTTTTTATTGAGCTCCTTTAAATGAAACTTTACCACTGTCGTAAACAAGTCCCTCAGCACTTTACACTGATGTGTCAATACCCCAGAGGAGTGTGAACTAAAGGAAGTAGCAAGCGGTTGTTTTAGCCAGACTATCTTAACTTTCCTTTTCGTTTAAAAGGAAAGCATGAGAGAGAAGAGAGGACACAGTATGGTGAAAGATCTCGTTAGGTTGTATGATGGAAGGACTGGGGAAGGAGAGATCCCCGAGCAAAGCTAATCCCTTCCCATGGCTCAGTCAACCCAAAACGGAGGCCTCAACCCTGCTATGGAAACTCAAAGACTGCTTCTCCTCCATTGAGACAACTGGCCCGCACCTCACAGATAAAGAAGTAGGTATTTACCTGCTGCATTTTCTAAAAATGATAAACCCACATTCTTTCCCTGTACATCATTGCACTACACCTCACTTACTCTCCATAACTTGTCTCTCAGAGGGAGTTTTTATGTTGTCCATCAATTTTCTGTTTTTTTTTTTTTTTTGCTTTTATTTGTAGCATTGTATAATTTTCCCAATTGTGTGTATAATCTTAACAGTTTGTTTAGTAACGTTACCAATTCCTTTTTCATAGTTTTAATGTTTTTTTTATTTGCTAATTATTCTTTACATTTAAAAAAGTTGTTGCACTTTTTTTCTGCTTTTTAAACTGCTAGATTTATACTTTGACAATTGGTCACACTGCATTTACAGACATCGTAAATAGGGAGTGATATTTTGGACACACAGAAAACTAAAACAAAACTTTGAGAAGATGTTACGTTCTGCTAATTGTTAGTGTATGAATGGCTTAGTAGAAGACGTGGAACTTTGGAATTCCCTGACCTCCCTGACCTGCCGGGAAACATCTCAGAATCAAATGTCTTCTAATATTTTATTGCAACAGGAAATTATATCAAACTTATCGAGCCAGATGTTGCTCTTAAAATAAGCTCTCCTGTGCATTGAGGCTGTTGTGCAAATAGATATTTTTAGTTTAAATACTCAGTGGCTGAACTAATTCAAATTTTAACCGCCCACCAATGATTTCCCTTTCAGAACAGTAACATGGAGAGCAGAAAGACTGTTCTGGAACTAAAAGATGTCCCCCCTCCACCACACCATACTTCCTCCCAATCATCCCAGCCCCCCTCTCTGGCCCCTCACCCTACTCACCCCTGCTTGCCTCTGCCATCTCAGCTTCTTACAGACTCCCAACACCAACAACCACCTCCACAACAACAGCATCAAGATGGTAGTAGCCCCAAAGTAAGCATTTGTACCCACTGTGATTATTGCAGCACAGATGGACAGAGGGTATTAGATGGTGGAGGTTTTGTTGGTAGCAGCATCAACAATGACGGCCTTGTCTCTCTCTTGATGGCCCCGCGCTCTCTGAGAGCTCCCATTAGCAACAGCAGTTTTAGCAGTTCTGGGTCTGGCTTGGTCACGTCATCCATTCACCAGTACAAAAATAAGCTGAGCTGTGGCAGTGTACGTTCTGCTCCAGATCATTTGCTCAGCCTTGATTATCCACCCCAGCTGCGTTCTGCTGTTGCTACCTCTCAGCCTGTTTCCTCACACCCTAACCTACCCTGTTGCTCAGGGCTTCTTCACACCTGTTCATCTTTACCTCCTCCGTGTAGTCAGCCTTCCATATTCCCTTCTTTAGCCCCTTTGGCTTCCTCTTTGCCCTCTGCATTTTCTGCTCCACCACCTGCCTCTTACCTGGCCTCTTCTGGCTACTATACCTGTGGTGTGGACTGCAGCCCGTCAGCCATAAGATCCCAGAAGAGCACCCTCGGTGACCACCCAACCTCAACCACCATAACTACTACAACCACCTCTGCACACTTTTGCTCTAATCCTATGCACCTGAATGTAGAACGTACGGTTTTTCTAAAGGGGGCACACTACTGTCAGGAGTGCTTTTTGAAGGTGAGCTGTTATTATTTACTCTGCCTTATTTTAACTTGTGTCATGAATGTTACTTTAGGTCACAGGGATCACCTCAGTCACTGTGTTATCACTGAACCAACGTCATTAACATGTCTTGTACCTAAGAACTCTATTATTATGATTGCAGTCAGTGAATGGTGTCACATCAGAATCAGATAAGGTGTGGCCCAATGTTCCTGTCCCACACATTGCTCCTATCACTATCCCTATCTGCAATGGCTGTGGTACTTCCTCTGAGGGCATGATTCACATGCCGTCCACCAGTGTTGGCAAGACTGGCCAAAAGTTTGGTGAGCGTGGTCCTTACTTTTATCTTTAATTCTAGTCTTTCATTCAGGTGTAAGATCTCTAAAGAGAAATAGTTTGCTCTTTTTACATTTCTCTCATTTTTTTCCACAAAATCTACAAATCCTTGTGCTAAACTTGAATGGGTAACAAGGCTGTTACCATGAGTATGGGTGTGTTTTTGACAGTACTGTAGAAAACACTACAGTTGGTCACCTCTTTGGGTCACGGATAGTATAGTTTACGTATATTATATGATATAGTCATGAATGTAATGATTGTAAAACCTTAATTATGTTTCTGTCTGTCAGGTTCACCAGAGAGCAACGGTCCAGAGAACATCCCACCAGTGGGCGTCTTCTGGGACATTGAGAACTGCAGTGTTCCGAGTGGTCGCTCTGCCGGAGCAGTTGTTCAAAGAATTCGCAGCCGTTTCTTTCAGGGTCATCGTGAAGCCGAATTCATTTGCGTCTGTGATATCAGCAAGGAGAGCAAAGCTGTCATTCAGGAGCTCAACAACTGCCAGGTACCTGCCCTAATTTTATTTAAATTCTAAGTGAGTCATTAATAAAGTTTATTTTGCGTTAATACTTTTATGCTCTGAAACTGACGTTTAGTTAAAAATCTGCTCCACCGCCAGGTTACTGTCGCACATATCAATGCCACAGCTAAGAACGCTGCAGATGACAAACTTCGCCAGAGCCTACGACGTTTTGCAGAAACCCACACTGCACCTGCTACTGTTATATTAGTCTCTTGTGAGTTCAGTTTATATGAACAATAATCAGCTACACTTTTACTTCGTTGAAGGACTTAGTTCTAAAAACCGTGATCTCCATCACTAACAGCGGATGTAAACTTTGCGAGTGAGCTGAGTGACTTGCGTCATCGCCATGGTTTCCAGGTCATACTGATCCACGGCAACCACACGTCTCCAGCTCTGCTGCAGCATTGCCATCGTCATGTGACCTTTCAGGAGATGACTGCTGATCTGCCACCACGAATGCTCGTCAAGTCACAGGTAGGCCTCAAGAATGCTTCACTTCAATTCTGGAAAGTGTGTCATTCAACTGCATTCTGTTTACATAAGTGAAATCGTGTGACCAAGAAGGCAGACGGTGAGACACTTTTATAATTAATTTATGAATTAATAACAATCTTGGCCCGCTGGACCACAGGCCACCAGTTCAAGACCTCTGCTCTAGCACCTGGAGCTATACTCCAAACTACTTGATCTGTGTTTTCCCTAAAGTCTAAATCATACAAACCAGACAGGCTCGTTGTCTCTTCCTCCCATTCCCTCAGCCCAGTTTCAACCTCCTTTACGTGCACAACCTCCCAGTCAACTGTGACAAGAACCTGCGGAATGCTGTGAAGCTCAGGCTCCGTCGTCTGTCTGACAACTGCGGCGGCAAGGTGCTTGGCATGTCCCAGGGCACTGCGGTGCTTCGCTTCAGCAGCCCTGAGGCAGCCTCACGTGCCCGCAAGCGAATGGAAAACGAGGATGTCTTTGGCCACAGGATCAGTGTTTCCTTCTCCCCACGGCCCAGAGACAACGCAAGTCCTGAGCCCGAGCTTCAGTCTCAGCCCCTTTCTTTGTCTCGAGCTGCGCCCCAGCTCAGTCAGTCCCAGGATTCACTGTTCCCCCCACCACCATCAATATCCTCCTTCTCATTTCTGCCCCTGGAGAAGTCCAGGTCACCCAGGAGGCCACGCCGAGCGGCCCGCCCATGCAGCACCCCTGAAAGGCCCTACAGCCCTAGGAGGGGGTGCAGTGGGCCTCCCGGTGGTGTTCCAGCCAAGCCCCATCAGGTCAGCAGTCTCGCCTGTGCCTGCTTCCGCCTCTGCTCCATTGCCTTGTCTTCTTGTCTGGCCTGCTTTTCATTAGCGTTAGCTTTTTCCGCCATGGTCCTTACTGCTGCTCTGACACTAACAGCTTGTAGTGGCTTGCTTCCTCTTTTTTTCGTTTTCCTGTGCTAGCATGTAGCCTGTTTGTAGTTGTTGGTAGAGCTCCATGTGTTCTTCTTCTGGCTTGTGTGTCATTGCTGATGTACTTCTCCATGCAAGTTCCCCAATTAATTTTTGTCAGAAATCTCCTCTGATTTTTGTTTTTTGTTTTTACCTCTGAGCTTGATTTGTGCAGCTTATTTATTGTGATTTATTTATTCTACTGTTGATGTATTTATAGTATTAACAGTGTAGTACTGTTTTACTAATGGCCTTAACATTGTAGCACCATGTCACACGCATCAACACTTTATATCTGTGCTAATCAGGAGCAGGGTGGTGTAGAGGGAAAGTCCAGAACGGCCTTTCACCAGACGGACAAAGGACGTCCTGCTTCCTCCTCTCCACACAGCTCTGCTGAGACTGGTTCCCTGGGACAGTTGTCCAAACCTGGCTACACTGGAGAGTCCACGTACAGGAGGAGGTAAAGATTGAAAAAGTGGATCTGATCTCACTTTAAGATCTGTCTTTTATTTTAAATATCTTTCTAAACAAAAACATTTTGCCATGAACTTTTTGTCCTTCAACACAGAAGGGAGAGTTCTAACCCCTGCAGTGTGACTGAATCACCCATGAACCAAGGCGAAAGAGGCTCTGGGGAGTTCCAGATCAGCACTCCCTCAGCCTTTAGTAAATTAAACCTGCACAGAAGCTTCAGCCCCCTAGTCCTCTCCCAGGGCTCCTGGTCCTCCAGGTACCATTTAGCCACATTCCATTCAGTTTACACAGATCAGCCAAAAAAGAACCAAATGACACCATGATGACTAAACATCCTTTAAGATCACTAATGTAGCTACTGTATATTAAAGAGACAATTGTCTTTGTCCAACCGTAGGAGTGCATCCCCCTGCCTGTCCAGCCGCTCCTCTCCCATCCTTACTGTCTCACGCAGTCCATGTCCTGAAAGTCAACAGGAGCCATTTTCAGAGGGGGCAGAAATTCAGGTGGGCAACCTGGACTATCGAATGTCCCGCAAAGACCTGCAGCAGATGCTGCATGATGGCTTCGCTCGATATGGACGGGTGAGTTCTAATCCTAATCCCTTTCAGACAAATTTCCAAAAGGTTTAATGTCTTTCTAAAGTCATTGTTGTAATAGATTCTGTCTAAAACATGAGTATTAATGACCCAAAAACTTTTTTCTTTTTTTTTGTTATAACCAGGTTAAAGCTGTGGAGCTCAGCCCTCACACTGACTACCAGCTGAAGGCCACCGTTCACATGTTGTCTCTGCAGCAGGCCATTAGTGCCGTCAGTGGTCTGCACCGCTACAAGATCGGAGGCAAACGCATCCAGGTTTCTCTGACCACAGGAGGGGGCAGCAAATCCTTGGTCCTGCTCAGGTACAAACTGTTTTTGAATTGTTTAATCAAAAGTTATTTTTTTATGTGTGTGTTGTTTAAATTCACCCTTGTCACTTCACAGCTCAGAGATCATCACTATTCTCCAGGATGCTCCAGCCAGTTGCCTTCCCCTCTTCAAGTTCACTGAGATCTACGAGAAAAAGTAGATTTTCTGCTTTTCTCTCTGTTTTAAAGTCCAACTTTCTTCATTATTTAAGTTGAAAGAACCTGACACTGGTGATTTATAATTATGGTTGTGATTTACAGTCTTTGGTTTTCTCTTAGAGACAAGTTATAAAGTGAATTGTTTGAAGGTGTGTTTGAATTGTATGACGTTTGTTTGGAAATTATGTAACTGACTAAACTTCTGCACATATCCTCTGCAGATATTCACGTAAGCTAGTCGTTGGAGATCTGTACAGACTCCCAGAGGTCGTGGCTGTGCGGGAACAGGGGGGCTCCAGGCTCGTGTGCCTTCTGCCCAGCAGCCAGATCCGTCAGAGTCCGCTCGGATCTTCTCAGTCCCAGGAAGGTTCTTCTGCCAGTGGAAGCCCTGTGGTCTTTGAGGAGCTGGAGTATCACGAGCCGGTGTGTAAACAACACTACGGACAAGACTTCAGGTACACTGGTGATTAGTCCTTCAGAAAAGCCACGCTCCTGACCAAACAAATGGATCAGACAACTTCTCTCCACTCTCACCGAGCTGATGATTTCTTTGTTGTTTGCAGTGAGGCGGACTTTGATCCTGATTCCTATAAGATCCCATTTGTTGTGATGTCTCTGCGCACCTTAGCCTCAGAAGTCCACAGTCTGCTGCAGGAACACGATGGAACCCTTCCACTTCTGAGGTAACAGCCTTAAGTCTTAATGGGGAAATATTCCTCAAAATGGACTTTGTCAGGGTTCTGACTACTTTTTATGTCTGTTTCAACAACTGAGTGGATGTTTTTTCAGCCGAAATCTGGAAATGTCTCAATTTAGCCACTCAAATTTCAAACAAAACAAAAATGGTTGATGTATTTCTTGAGCGTTCAAAACCAATAATTCTGTATATTTTTCATTCAGTTTCCCAGATTGCTATGAAGCTAAATTCAGCCCCCTGCAGGTGGGTGGTGAGACACTGCACGGTGGAGTGTCCCTGGAGCACCTGATCACCTGTGTCCCCAGCATCACCATCGTCACAGCTCAGAACGGCTTCAAAGTCATTAAGTGGGTCCACAATAAACCACCAACCCTGGCCTCTGGTATGATTTCTGATTTACCAAAATATTCTCTGTGTTTGGTCTGAGATGTTAGAACCTCACTTTAAACTAGTACTTATTTTTTACAGAGCTGTGGATTCAGCGCTGCAAAAGTCCAGTGGGAAATCCTCAGCTCATTCAATTCAGCAGAGAGATCATAGACCTGTTGAAGAGTCAGCCTTCATGCATGATACCCATCAGCAAGTTTATACCTTCGTACCATCATCACTTCGCCAAGCAGTGCCGGGTCTCTGACTACGGCTACACCAAACTTCTGGAGCTGCTGGAGGCCGTACCACATGTTTTACAGGTAGTGGGTCAAAATATTTAAAACGTAAAACCATGGTTCAAGTACTTCAGGTCGAGTATCCAAAGTAATGGACAGAAAAGGTGAAGAAAGGCTGCAGGAAGGTGGAAAGAAGGCTTAGGACTGTAGTGAGACCTGCTATGATGGTGGTTTAGAGATGACCGGGATAGAGATGAGGCTGAGCTGGAGGTGGTGCTGAAGATGCTAAAATCTTCGCTGGTAGTGACCAGGATGGATGGGATCAGAAATTAGCAGATCAGGACAGTTCAGGTGGAGCCGTTAGGGAGGTGAGGTGGAGATTATAGGTGGCAGCATATAGGGTAAGGTGGAGGTAGATGATCTACTCAAGGGGCAGTCGTTATATGTTTGATTGTTCTTGACATATACTATACTGTATATTGTGTATTTATTGTTTGGTCACTTTTGCAGATCTTGGGGATGGGAACCAAGCGTTTACTGACGCTCACCCATCGAGCTCAACTGAAGAGATTCACTCAGGACCTTCTCAAACTGCTGAAATTTCAAGCCAGCAAACAAGTGGCAATCAATGACTTCATGCAGGCGTACCACTGGTCAGCCACACTTACTCAGCTTTTTTTTTTTTATTTTGTAGAAGTTGCTTTGACCTTTTATGTCTGAAAACGGGTATCGCTTATCAGTTGTCTGTGTATGTTGAATATTATTTACCTTCCTTACCAGGTGCTTCTCCAGGGATTGGAGGGTGGTTGACTACGGCCTCTGTGATCTGATGGATCTGCTGACTGAAATCCCTGACAAAACCATCACCATAACACAACAGGCCACGGACACAGTCATCAGTGTTCCCAAGAGAGGTGAGTTCACCTGTCTGTCCATTTTGTTTCATGGTAGTGATCTGATTAATGAGAATGTTGCATTAATGGTCTGTTCTCCTGCAGTCATGTATGTCAGTTTCTCTATACGTTTCTCAGATGACCACAGTCAAGTTCATTTTGGGCTGCATGTGCCCCGCGACCTTCTAGTTGAATACGCCTTAAAATTGAGTCAAAGGTAAAATTACATTTTAAAAGGTCCTTAAATGTTTCCTGCAGATCGAACAGCTGAGGAAATAGAGCGAACAAAGCAGTTTGCCAAAGAGGTGGTCGACCTCCTCCGTCACCAGCCCCACTGCAGGATGCCCTTCAATAAATTCATCCCCACCTATCATCACCATTTCGGGCGCCAGTGCAAGCTCAGCTACTACGGCTTCACCAAACTCATGGAACTGTTTGAGGCCATACCTGAAGTTCTGATGGTGAGGACCAAGAAGTGTGGAGTTCACTGTTTTGTTTTTTTTTTCAACATGAAGGCTGTAAAGCTGATCCTTATTGATTTAATTTTCTATTGAAAATACTAACATGCAAATAATGTAGAGAATGTTATGTCATTACGATACTGATTCTCTGTCTGTGTGTCGCTGTTCGTGTATGTTGGTCAGGTGTTGGAGTGTGGTGAGGAGAAAATGTTAAGTCTGACAGAAGTGGAGCGTATCAAAGCCCTGGCAGCTCAGCTGGTCAAGTTGCTGCGGGCTCAGAAAAGCTCCAGCCTTCTTGTCAGCCAGCTGCTCACTGAGTACAGCAAGACCTTTGGTTACGCTCTCCGCCTGCAGGACTACGACGCCAACTCCCTGCCAGGGCTTCTCACAAAACTCTGTCATGTTGTGAAGGCAAGGAACCATCTCTTGGTTGTACCACGCCATACCTGTGCATCCTCAGTACCACTGTAGAGTTTTTATTATTATTTATTTAATTTTCCTAAGGTCGTGGACAGTCCAGAAGGTCGTGAAGTGCAGTTGATAAACAGGAAGTCTCTACGCCTCCTGACCTCCCAGCTGCTGTCCCTGCTCATGTCTCAAGAGGAGGAGCAGGTCGCCCGGGGTATGAAGGTGGAGAACCTAAGTCTCCTTTATCTGACTGCCCATGGAGTCCAGCTCAACCCATGTGAATATGGGTTTCTCTCACTCAGCGAGTTGCTCAAGAGTTTACCTTACCTTGTGGAGGTAAGCTTTTAAAGAAATGCTGCTTTTTGTTTGTTTCTAAAAACCAATACAGAATGTTAGAATTTGAATATTCAACTAGCTCAATGCTAAATAATGACATAAAGGACAGTTTGTTTGTTACATGCCCCCCGCCCTTTCCAATAGCTTTACCATGAAGAAAGTGAAGAGAACAGCAAAGTTGACGACTCAGCTGCTGGTCACAGTGAGGAGTGGGTGAGACTAACCAGACTTTACCAGTTTGCTCGCAACATGCGCGCCCTGCTCCACACCTACCATTACAACCAGATCTTCCTCACCGAGTTCCAGGGAGCTTATGACAAATTCACAGGCTGCAGCCTTGAGCCGCGCTGCTATGGCTACTCTAACGTTGATGAGCTGCTCAGTGCCATACCACAGGTGAGAAAGACCCCAGCTGTTTATACAGGAGTCTGTGTCTCTTGTCACTGCTGCTGGGCTTTATCAATTATTGGTAGGATGTTATATATATATTTTATTAACAATTAACAGTCAAATATTCATTGTGTTGGTGTATTTTATTGTGTTTACTTCTCTAGTGATTGCAAAAGTAATTCCCTCTGTTCCAATTTTGCTAACATTTTTTCTACAATTAAATTGTTCAAAAATTCAATACATTATCATGCCTATAGCATTGCAGTATGTAGCAATATTTATCATATCGTTGCCCCTGTATTGTGATACATATCGTATCGCCAGATTGTAGACACCCCCCGATTTAGCGTCAGCGTTACAGTCTCAGTTGCACTGTTAAAGTTTGAAAACTCATCTCTCTGATACCTTTTTCTATACGTGTCTTGTTAACAGGTGGTTTGGATCAAGGGTCACGGCCACAAGAGGATTATCGTTTTGAAAAACGATATGAAAGGTACAGTTCTCTTTTTGTCTAAGTGATTTTTTTCATGTTAATGATGAGAAGTTAAGTCAAGTCTGTTTGTCTGTGTTGGGTGTAGCAAAGACAGGCTCTTCAGCCCCCAGCAGCCCACAGCCAGAGGAGAACACAGAGACCCTTAAAGACGACTGCATTAGCAACACAGTCTCTGCAGCCCACAGTCCAGGTGAGTAGGATTGGATTTCAGTCAAAGTGAGTCACCAGGTCAACCACAACACTTCTACAGACGTTTGTCT